GTGGGTAGCTTAAATATACTATGGTCGCAAATGAGATGGACTTTCCCTCAGCCTCCAGGGGTACACAGCAAGGTTGGCAGAACTCAGGTCCTCAAAGCTCTGGCTCTGGATTGTCTAACAATTCACCACTCGAGATAGGGGAATTACCCCAGCTGCTTTCATGGCACTTTTCTGTTCCCACGTAGCATCTCGTTCACTTAGGACACTGGTATCATCCATGAGCCCCTCAAGCGTTTGCTTCCTTCAGCTCTTGTCGGATGTATCTTCAGCGTAATCCTTCTCACCCCTTCACCTCTCGCGCTCAATGATATCATCTCTCCCCAGAGGGCGCGTTCCATCATTCAAGACCATAGCCTCTCTATGTCGCCTCCGAATCCCCTCCTCCATAGAACTTTGCTCCCTCCGCCGTCGACCTTCTACAAACATCCCGTCAAAATCTTCTCCTGCAGTCCCCTCCCCATTGATCATCCGAATATCCCTAGGACTCGGTACATCCCATTCAAAATCCATAGGTAGAAGTTTTACTTTGCAAAGTAGTCTCCGCGCTGTCGGATCCCTGATGAGTGGCAGCGTGAGCTCCGTTAATCGATTCCTTGTACGAAGTGACTCCAGAAAATTGATTTGTCGCTCCCTGTCATCACTACCCCAAGGTTCTTTCGCCAGCCAACGCTCAATGAACCGTGCCTTTACTAGACCTTCCGGTCCAGACTTGTCCACCAGCTGCGTGAGAATCAACAAGCAGCCTTGCTCAGCAACGTCTCGCTGTAGCCAGTTGTCCCATTCAGTATCGTGCTCTGCATGTTTGTAATCCGTCAGGGAATATTCAAGGGACTTTACGAGAGCAGCGTATGTGCCGGGTTCGTCGATTATGCTGGCAGCGGCTGAGAATTCTAGTAAGTTCAGTGGTGTTCATGAGTAAGATGATGGATAAGATGATGGAACTTACGGCTGTTTAGCATCATAGTCAAAGTCCGGATACCCTTTTCCCTCATATCGTGATCCGGCTGGGTGATATGCCATAACAGTGCATTTATGGTTGCTTTATCATGAAGGGCGCGCTCGCAGATGATTACTGAGGCTGTTTCTTGAATACTGAAGTTTGGGCTGCAGAGTAACTTGTCTAGAGTACCCAGCCTCAAGGAATCCTCGACCTCCTGGGTGATGTACTGAGGCTCGTTCTCACTTTTTGGTTCGAGGGCAGCATCGCGATACTTAATGAGCAGGCTGCGCATGAGCCAGACGACAGCACCTGTAGAGACTCCAAGTCCTAGAAGAAAAAGTCGATTTTGCCCAGTGGGCGAGAGCCCAGCCATTTTTTCGAAACTACATTCGTAGCTGAAAGAGGTTGTATCGGGGGGTCATTTTCTGGAAGCTGTTATTTTCAAGATTGTCGTTGGAGCTGCTGCTGCTGTTGCTGCTGTTGCTGGGTACAAATTAGCTCACCGCCTGATTCTGCCGCCAAGACCCTCACGATAAGCGACTACTATCAGAAAATGTTTCAAAAACCTTTGGAGTACCAGTAACACAAGATACTTTAAAATGCCTCCCTCCCAACTCAAGAGGTTGAAAGCATCTCTGCGCGAGCAAGGAGTTGTTGGACCCCAGCAGTCTAAGAAGCAAAGAAAACAAAATGCGCAAAACGGAGTCAGCAAGGAAAAGAGGGTCCACAAGAAGGTGGCTCTCGAGGGAATCCGAGAACAGTTCAACCCGTTCGAATTCAAGCTTGCTGGAAAGGCCCCCAAATTCGAAGTTACAACAAACAGAAAAACAAGCGCAGTTGTGAGGAGACCAGGTGTGGCGAAGGGACTGGCTGAAGAGAGGGTAAGTTACAATTGTGGCAGCGCGCATTTTACATTTGCTAATAGATTTTTCACAGTTAGCTAGAGCTTACGAAGAAGATGTACAACGTAGGAAAAAGGTGGGAGGGATTGTAGACAAGCGTTTCGGAGAGAATGATCCTACAATGGCCCCAGAAGACAAGATGCTAGAACGATTTACATTGGAAAAGCAACGCCGACACAAGAATAGTTCTGCTTTCGACTTGGAGGATGATGTTATGCCAGGGGAGCTCACACATATGGGACAATCACTTTCTCTGGATAGCCCGGCTCTTAAAGATGATTTTGATGAGAAGGATTTAGAGCTATCAGACGAAGAGGATCACCCTTCAGACGATGAGCAGACACGGAAACGAAGAAGATCGTCGGCTGGAGAGGATGAGGAGGATGAGGAGGAGGATGAAGAACGGCCAGAACGGAAGAAATCGAAGCAGGAGGTCATGAAGGAATTGATTGCCAAGTCCAAACTTCACAAGTACGAACGGCAGACTGCTAAGGATGACGATGAAGACCTGCGAGAGGAGCTAGATCTGGAGATGTCGGATATTCATGCACTCTTACGAGGAGCTGTTCCCAGGTCGCAACCTCCGCCACCAGCATCAGGTCCAGGAATGAACCCAGATCGTGCAGCATTGCTCAGCGGAACGGATAAAGGCAAGCTTGACAAAGACTATGACTTAGGGTTAAGACAGATGGCGCAAGACAAACGATCTCAACCAACAGAAAGAACCAAGACAGAAGACGAGAGGATTGAGGAGGGGTCGAGGAAGCTGCAAGAGTTGGAGGCGAAGCGACAACGTCGCATGGAAGGCGCCCCTGAAAGTAGCGACGAAGAAGATGCTGCCGCCAATGACGGGGATGAAGAGGAAGAAGACTTTGGACTTGGTTCCGGCCTCAAGGCTCGCCCAACAGCGGCAGAGATAGGAATCGAAGACGAAGATGATTTTCTCATTGACGATGATTTGGTGGCCAGCGGCTCGGATTTGGAGCTTTCAGAAGGCGATTCGTCCGACGAGGAAGCAGAGGAATTGGACAATGATGAAGAAGATACAGACTTTTTGAAAAGTCTACTCACGGAAGAGGAGGCCAGACGACCCGAATTTCTCACAGGTGCCAACGGCCCGCTACCGGAGGCGGAAATGCCAGAACAAAATGGCGTGAACGGGGATTTAGCTTATACCTTCAAGTGTCCCCAGTCCCATGAAGAGCTTCTGCAGATCACAAGGGGTGTATCAGTGTTCGATTTACCAACTGTTGTACAGCGGATTAGGGCTCTCTACCACCCCAAGCTCAACAGCGAGAACAAGGCGAAACTGGGAAAATTTGCCGTATCTCTTGTAGATCACATATCCTATCTTGCAAATCAACCGCAACAACCTCCGTTTCTCATCTTAGAGACCCTAATTCGACACATCCACTCGTTAGCAAAGACTTATCCCGTCGAGATCGGAAATACATTTAGAAGCCACCTCCAAGCGTTTGGCGAATCACGATCTTTGTCTCCAACTGCAGGAGATTTGGTGGTTCTCACTGCCATTGGTACTGTTTTCCCAACCTCAGATCATTTCCATCAAGTCGTTACTCCAGCTATCTTGACCATGACTCGATATCTCGGCCTAAAGATACCTCAGACTCTATCAGACTATTCTACAGGGGCATATATTTGCACGCTATGTCTGCAGTACCAGCGGATATCAAAACGATATGTTCCGGAAGTGATGAACTTTATCGAGAATACGCTTTGCGTATTGGCACCAACAAAGCTTGCAAGACTGCCTGGGAACTTTCCATTGCATGAGCCAAAGGCTTCAGTCAGAATAGCTGGTACTTCAAAATCAACTAGGCGGCTTACAATCTATGACTGTATTCCTCGAGAACATTCGGGCGACGATGAAACGTCACTCAAAGCAGCCCTACTAGAAACTAATCTCAGTCTTCTCGATGCAGCTGCAGATACCTGGGTGGACAAGTCATCATTCACAGAAGTGTTCACACCCGCCTCCAAGATCCTCCAGCACCTTTCAAGCAAGGCCTGCCGCCCCACACTCTCCCCAATCACACAAACCCATCTCACCAAACTGACCCAAAAGCTCACCATCCTCCTCAAGAATGCACACATGACCCGTCGTCCCCTAGAACTACACCACCACCGCCCACTTGCCATCAAGACCGCAATCCCCAAATTCGAAGAATCCTACAACCCAGACAAGAAGCACTACGACGCGGACAAAGAACGCGTCGACGCTGCGAAGCTGAGGAAGGAATTCAAGCGCGAGAAGAAGGGCGCAATGAGGGAGCTGCGTAAGGATGCCGCTGTTGTTGCGAGGGAGAGTCTTCGGGAAAAGAGGGAGAGGGATGCCGCGTATGAGAAGAAGTATAAGAGGCTTGTGGCGGAGATTCAGGGGGAGGAGGGGCACGAAGCGAAGGCTTATGAGAGGGAGAAGGAGTGGCGGAAGAAGGGGAAGAAATGAGTATAAACTTCTGGGAATGGCGTTGGATACCTTTGTATGGAATGGAAAAGTGTCGGGGTTTTATGGAAGTAAGTGAGGGCTCTTCGTTAGACAGATATCTTTCGGTTCATACTCGTAGAGGAAGTAAAAGTCTACACTAAGCGGTGACTGGCTACTAGATTCCCTTGGTTGCGTGAGCTCCCAGCTGACTTCTAGAGCTCATCTTGCCTCGGAGGGCTAGGTTGCGGCTTTTACTTTTGTCTACTTATTTCAACCAATTGACCTGGGTCCCTTGGAACGAGATCTTCTGTGCAATGTACATAGTTCAAGCCGTGTGCTATACACAGAGCGCAGCACTCATTGTCATCGATTTCCAATATGCCTCTTCGCCTGACACATTATAAATCAGTGCCACTTTTCCTGTCCATTGCGAGCTGTTAGACTGAAACCTCTTCTAAATTTATCGTTTGCCCGGCAACATCCTGTTCGTTGCGATTCTCAAGTCGAAGACCCTGCTGAACTAATAAGATTGACTGGCTGTAACTGTTCCAGTGCGAGCCGTGCACGTTATTTGCTTGGACTCTCCTGCTCAACAGCGAGGCCGACGTCCTCGAGTCTCTACAAAGGCTTCTTCCTCCATCTTTCAACGACCTCTTATCTTTCTTCCCCGCAACTCAACACTACCCTTGGAGCATATTTAGAAAGCATCTTGGCACTATTTACCTTTTTCTTCGGCAACCTTCAAGTCGATATTGATGTTAGACGTCAACCAAAAGACAGCTTCATTTTTCACGTGGCCTGCCTCCTTTCTCAACTTCTTATCATCTTCGGATAATTCCAAGACAATTATTGATGCTGTCTTCATTCATTTTCAGCAGCCTTCTATCTCATCAAAGGTTACAGTGCCAATACTCGAGGTCGCGAGTTCCCTAGCAAATCTCGACGAGGTACGTGAATATTTTTCTATTCAATTCTCTCCAATTCACTGGTTTTGTGGTTGCATGCTCGCCTTCTCACACTCCTAAACGAGATTCATCTCTCACCTTCTGACTTCTCTTTGAACATTCCTCCCCACAACACCATTTCTACCCCAAAATACTTAGCTGTCTCCTCTTCCAATTCCCCAATTCTTCATTGTCCTCAAGCCACATCTGCCTCGGTATTGCATCCAAGATCCAGGCTCCGAATAGACACCTCGCCTCCCCGTCGCTCGGTTTGCTTATACATTTCCCCACAACACTCACTTTGGTCTTCATACCACTAGCAACTAACTCAAGATAGTCTGGCTGCTCATATATATCCAAGTGTTCCTTAACTTCTCCACTGTTTATTCAAGAAACCAGCGCTGCCTAGGTTGCTATTCCCCACCTCAAATATGTCCTGGAACGGTCGTTTCGACCCGGCGCTCACTCCATTACCTTCCTCCTCACCATCAGTCGATCGAGACACTCCAACCTCATCACGCAATTCACTTACACCCAATCTCTCACCAGCAGCTCACAAGAGCCTAAAACACTCTGCTTCTTTGAGCACTTTGAAAATTGAAAGACTGGCCATCACCTCCCCGCAGCCAACCGGCAAGCCGAGTATGCTACCCAAGGCCAGAGAAGCCGAATTTCCCTTGAACCGCCCCGTAGAGGCACAACATCTGCAGTATTCGGACAGAAAGGTTCAGATGCTGCGAGAAATATTCCCAGGCGTCACGTCACGTATCTGTATGTTAGCTCTGGATCGTGCTACACACGATGTGAATATAGCAGCTGGGGACATCTTAATGCAATACCCTCAAGGATTCAGACAGCATGATTCGCGCGCTCCTCTTGTTGCCGAGGCTTCATATGGTATCAAGAAAGAGGTCCCAGACCCTTCTGCTGGACCTGTCATGGACCCAAAGGTCAAGATGATCTTCAACCGCAACCAGTCGCCCGTAAAAGTCAAGTCTGAAGAACGCTCAAGTTCTCCAGAGGCTAGTCAAGCTCGCCATGTCTTTGAACCTCCCACCGATGCCATGTCTACCCGTTCTTCATCCCCATTTGACGATTTTTCGGACGTCGATATGGATTCTGATGTCGACCAAGAGGGATCTGATGGCGCGCTAGGAGACGCCGTTGATGAAGATGAGGACATGGTTGATGATCCAGAGAGCCCTGTTGAGAATACAGAGGAGTTGACGGATGCTAAGGCCGAAGAACTGCATGTAATATTCCCTGATGCTGATATAGAGGAGTGCAAGCGGATCATGCAGTGCGTTGATAACGATCTCGTGGATGCGGTTGATATGATGGAAGGAGAGCGAGGCAGTGACCTGTTTGACGAGACAGTACTGGGTGGTGACAATACTGGTGGCAGTAGCTCTACTAGTGCCTCTTGGTCTTACCTTGATCCAAGTAGCTCCCCCTATTTCACCAAAACTGTCAACGCAGGGGCAAATGTCAACAAGAAGAGAGCGGCTGAGGATCCGGTAAGTCGATGCTCCATTTTTCGATGTTTCAGAACGAGTTAGTCACTAACGTTGTTAGGAGGAGCGTCTTTTCAAGAGGACGAAAGCCCCAGACGGTAATATGGAAGTCAATGGCAAACTTCTACCAGCAGGAATTTGGGTAGCGTGAGTATCATCCGGATCCCCTTCAAAACTCCTACTAACATCCCAATAGTGATTTCTTCCCCGAGAGCGGCGACATTGGCTTTACGTTCAAAGATGGCAAGCACCCGTGCCAATTCCCCAGGAAGCTTCTCATCAAGAACTTCAAAATTCTTGAGAAATTCTTCGCTTCAAAAGCCCCAATTACAGACCGCTACCCGCTGGATGATCACACCCAAGAAGCCTTCGACCTCCTACTACAATGGGCAGTTGCGAAGAACATCCGGCTTGATCCTCGCAAGCACAAAGACAGCGGCAGCGAGATCACTTCAATCCTCGCTATGCTCCACCTAGGCAGCTATCTCGAGATGAACGAGCTCGTGGCCCTCGGCCACAGCATGGCTCAGCTCCTAACAGACATCTTGACCAAGAACCGCAGAGCTATGAAAGGAGAACATATCCGCTTCGCATTCCAAATCTTCGGAGCTGGCCACCCGATGCACACCGTCTTTGTCAAGGCAGCTGTTCGCGCTCGTCTGGAATATCAAAATACAGGCGAGCCGCGTGAGCAAGGCATGTCTGGGCCCAGGCAACGAGTCTTCAAGTACGAGAATGAGGCGAAGAGAGCCGCATACCGCGGTCACATATCACCGTACGCGGAGGAAGTGGCGGATATCCCGGACTTCGAACTCCAGCTTTTGCGTCTTCAGAACAGTACTTGGTAAGTTCAATAACGTTGTTGACCTGATTGATCGATCTGTACTACAATACAATAGCACGCTTCATCCACATGTCCCAGTCCGGTTCTGGTGTATGTACATGTTTTCGGGCAAGGATGGACTACTGGAATGAAGAGCTAACTAAACTGTACTTGTGGCAGGGAAAATCGAGAGCGAGCCGAGGAAAAAGTCGATCGGCCTCCTGGTAGGACTGGTAAGCCGCGCCAAAAGACGCTGCAAGGCCATCATCTGACCGATCCTTTGAGCGGAGAGCGCTTCTTTCTTTAGGGGAGGATAGATGGATATGTTTGAATGGGACCTTTGACGAACGAATTGGTGGAAACGCTGCTAGCAGCTTAATAGTTTTGCTGGATCCTTATTATTGCGGATGGGATGGGATGGAATCTGGTATAGGGAATGGGCAGCATATCATGGACCTGCAAATTGCAATTTCTTTGACATTTACCAGTCGGCCCCCCCTAACTAGCATATCAGAACGATATCTTGTATAAAATTTACCTTACCTTACCCCTTTTGCTCGTGCTCGTCGTCTCTCTTTGTATCACGTCTTCAAGTTTTACTTGTATGCTGAATGCCACTATATCTGTTGATATCTATCTACAGGAGATGAGATGAAATCCAAAACGAGAAGAGCTTGTAGATCTCTCCCGAATTATATTACTACACAAGCCTCATAGTTTTTTTCTGTCCAAATGCTAGCAGCAGACATGATCCAAATTCCGATCCAAAGCTTCTCGAACGCCGATATGCAATGCGTAATATTTATCACATCTTCCTCTAAGTATTCACAGCCCGAAATTACTACGTGTAACCCAGCATCTCCTTCAGCCCATTAGTAGATTCGCCCTTTTTCGTTCTCCATATCGACTTCTTCTTCTCGCGCTTCTTCTTCATCTCCTCCCATCCTTCCTCGTCGTCTTCGTCTTCTTCGTTTCCAGACTTCTTGACTGCTTTAATAGTTGCAGTGCTGTTCTTGTTCTCCCAGCCTTGAAGCGCGCCTGTCATTGTCGAAGTTCTTGACTTGTTATCGGCTGCTGGAGTGTGTGTTACCGGCCTATACCGGCCTGGTAAGCCGATGTTGCTTCTCTCAGAGGGTGCAATCGACGGAGCGTAGCCACCCTGGCCATTCATCGAAGGAGCATACAGGGAGCCGTGTCCGTTCTGCATCCAGGGTGCAGCATTGGGATCCAGCATAGTCATGGCTCGCTGGTGAGAACTAGTAGGACGCAAATGCGGGCTGTTAGATTGTGGCATTGATCCCATGGATGGTTGCGACACATGTCCATTTTGCTGGGGCGGACCTTGACCTTGACCTTGACCAGATGTCATCATTTGCATAAATTGCATCTGCATCTGCATGAATTGTTGCATTTGCTGCGACATTTGGATCTGAGCTTGATCTCCCGGAGTCATCATCATCGGGTTCCCAGGGCCCATTTGACCCATCTGGCCAGGCATCATTCCATTTGGCGGCATTCCCATACCTCCCATACCGTTGAAACCATTTGATGGGGGACCATACTCTCCCTGTGGATTTGGACTGCCTCTCCTCATAGCGCGAGATCTTTCTTCAGTAGCAATCACACCTACAAGGCCTCCTGGTTGTAATCCCCTAGAGGGTCCTCCCGAAACAGAGCCAGCTACACTACCGGGCCCGCCGCCACCACCAAAGCCAAAAGACTCGCGGTTCATTGGATTGACAACGCTAGCGCCGAAATACGGATCTTGTGGCAGGTGTCTTGCAAAGACAGGGAGTCTTGGATCGGCTGGATTGCCCGCGAGAGACTGGGCAGAAGCACGCAAGTTGGGGTTTGATCCTATGCGGGGTGGCTTGCTCTTGTTTGGGAATCCGTGTGCTTGCAGAATACCCAATGGAACTTCTTCGTCTTCCTCCTCGTTGTCGTCAGAACTCGATTTTCCAGATAATCCAAGATTGGGGCTGCTCTGAGTGGCGAACACACTCGGACGGGTCGCGGCAGGTGGTCCAGACGAGGTTTCCCCAGTCACCTTCATCATCTGTTGTCGATAAACAACCATGTGAGCCTCCTGTTTCCGGCGCTGCTTTGCAAGTTGCTTGTTCTTCTCAGCCTCGTCCTCTTCATCGTCATAAGTCTCATCCTCTTCCTCCTCTTCCTCATCCCTTGATTGCCCCCCAACGCTTCTGAGCCTTTCCTGGTCTTGCTTGTATCTCTCAAATTGAGCAGGCGTCATGACCTTATTTTGCGGTGCTGCGTTTCTTGCTGGTGGAGGATACAAAGACTCCTCCTGGAATCTTTGGGCGATATTCGCTGATGCAGCTAAATGGTTGTCAAATAAGCCATCGTCATGCTCGTTAAGCATTGGCACTGGCTTTCGGGCCTTCGGGGTAGTTTGAACAGATCCTGTGGTCCATGACGAAGCGGATGTATCCTCGATAGGAGGGGACGACGCTGAAGGCAAAGCCCAGCTCTTACGGACCTGGGGATGGGTATCCGGACTATTGAGCCGTCGACTCGCATTCACGGATTCTCTGAGCAGCAAAGCATCCTCATCCACAGCTTCCCCCGAGTCAATCGTCGATTGACGCTTCCCGGAATATCCACTAGTTCTTCTCAAACCTGTATCGGCGAGCGCTCCAGGTCTTTGAACCCTATTGTAACCAGTATTATGTTGAGGGACAGGGGGGGCTCGTTCCTGCTGGCGTGTGGCAAAGGGAGGCGGGCTCGTGTTGGACATCAGACCGTCGTTGGAGTGTTCGCTGCTCCAAGAAGGTAGCGAGGCTTCTACCTGTCTCGATTTATCGATGCTTAGAGCAGTCGGTTGGTTATAACGGGGTTGTGCTGAGGTTCGGGAAATCTCCTGGTGCGTATCAGTATTAGCTGGGGATTGTGCGTCGGGCTGAGTAATGGTGCTTACAGGGCTGTGTGACCTGGCCCTGGTATCCTTAGATTCCATCACCGCGCTCTTCCTCTTTCCAATTCCCGAGAACATGTCCGAAAAATCCCCTCCCATACTTAGTCCAATATCTTTTTCGAGCTTTGGCGGTGTTGCCGTGCTTGCATAGCTTGATGCTGTCATTGCCCTTTCTCTAATAGCCGCGGGCTCTCGCTCGATTGGAGAGGTCTCCTCTCTTGGTGGCGAGGGGGGCGTTGGCTTGGTTCGTCCCCAAGACAGAGTTCTCCCGGCATTTTTAAGGGAGAAAGTAGATGATGATTTGGGTATGGGAGGTACTGGGATATCGCTAAATGGCTTGTCGTGAGGCGACCGCCATTCCTCTCGCCCCGAGACGTCTGTGGATGAAGGTGTCGTCGACGCTGCGCTCAACCTCGATGAGTTATCTGTCGTAGATGCGGTGTTGGTATTAGAAGCGCCACTACCACTTCACAAAGTTAGCAATTAGCTAGTGCTTGATGAATAATGAAGGACCAAAAACTGGCAAGCTGAGCCGTATTAAAAGGGCAGCTCACCGATTGTTGTTTATATTCATAAACATGTTATCATCCTCCAGATGCGAGGTTTTTGGTCTCGCCGAATTCCCTTTAACCTTCGCAAACTTCACTCCTCCGTCGAACGATTTGCTCACCCCGTCTGCTCTCTCAAAAACTTTGAATGTCCCTTCTCCCGCCGGCACGTCCGGGACGTCCTCGAGCACGTTGGCGTTCGATTTTCGCCGCCCAAACGCTTTGGGAAATCTAGGCATATAGAAGATATGTGGTGCAGAGATGGTACGAAGTGGCAGAAAAGTTCATACGAGAAAATGGCCAGCAAATGCTGAAAATACAATTCTAAATAGAACAAAGCTAAAAATGGCACGGCAAGTCGTATATTTGTCCGTAACGAAGGAGATAAAGTAAGATGTCGCTCGTTAATTTAATATGTATCGTTGCAATGAGGGGAACGGGTCTGCAGTGAATAACGCGAGGTAGGAGTCAGCAATAGTTCAATCTTAATGCAGCTACCCGGATCCTGGGTGTAATTGTGGTTGGCTTGGGCTGAGCGGGTTTACCAGAGACGATGAACGGTGGCCGCATGCATGCAATTCGATGCACGATAACTCTCATCCTCGGACAATTTAGCTCACACCGCAGGCATTGGAAGAGGAGTTAGGTTGGGTATGTATGCGTGGAAACCGGGCCACACGATGCCGCAGACTACTTCCGATCGTGTTGACGATGGAGCATGGCACCACAGGTATGTTGTTAGGTGTTTGTATGCTGTCGAGGTGGTGTTGGTGGTGGTTTGAGGAGGCTGAAGAATTTGTTGATGTCGCGATCCAAATATAGAATGTCGAGAGAGGTGTCTTGCTTGCCCAGCCCAGCCCAGCCCAGTCCCCGACTGATAGAATCCACAAAGGGGAGGGGAGGAAAGGAAAGGAAAGGAAAGGGGATAACAACAACAAGAACAACAAGTAGAAGGTTAAGCACTCACCGGCAAAAGACTACAATGGGCGACGACGACGACGACGAAGAGAAATTAAGGGAAAAGATAGAGATGTCGTCGAGAAAGAGGATTCGGTGGGAGAGATGGACGGGACGGGGTGGATGGGTGGATAGGTGGATGAGCTCGTGTTTCTTTCAGGGCAAGGTTCGAGCGCTCTCTGCCTAGCAAATGCTCGTCTACAGTACCTACCCTACTCCGTAACGGTCTAACAGGGCTGGCTGTAGCTGTACTAACCGTTTGCAGTGATGCTCCTCGGATCCATTATTAATTTTCCTAATTTATTTCTTCATACAGTACTGTACAAGTAATCATTAGAATACGATAATAATGCATGCGAGCATCAGGTCAGGTCGTTTCATTTCTTGTCATTTGAACTTTATATCTCCAAGGACTCTCTTGCCCCTAGATTCTACCCCGTTACTGTGCATCTTTGCGGACTTTGCTCTGATACTGTACTGTACCGATTATCCCCATCAGTAATCAAGGGAATCGATTGCCGTTTGACGTTGGAGACTTCTGATTTACAGCTACACTTACGAAGTACTTACAGGCGGCGGCTGATCAGGATCGACTCTATGTCGTGCGCTGCTCTGCTCTATCTCGAGACATCATAAAATCAGTCAAGACTATTAATCTATAATAGTAAGAAACCCCACGGCACACGGCTCACTCACTCAGGGGTTCAAAGATGACGCCCATTTGCATTCCAATCAATCAATTGATTGGATACGGTTAAATGCTCTACTTGCACTGGACCACCCACCCGCCCACTTGCTTGCCCCTGAATATCTCCCATAGAACATCACTTACAGTAAGTATGATACCATCGTACCACAGCGCATTATTACATACGAAGAAACAGTCATTTCACAATAATGTGAAATTCATACTCGTATATCGGACCCGGTGCCAGTAAATTTTTCAATGCAATGTCTGGACCCCACCCCTCGAAAAGAAACAGCTAGAGCTAGCCCAAATATAGGCCCCAGAATACCCCTGACAAGCTGACTGGCGGCAAAGAATACCTTGAAGGAACCCGAATATCGAATCTGACATTATGACAATTTCATTCCACTATTATTACCATAAAGTCAAGTTCAACCTACCGAAGCAACAAATCCTCTCGCTCCCGACCGAACCTTTCTTTTACTCTAGAAAACGCCTTCTTTCCATTTCTAGTTTTGCCTGAAGATCTGATCCGGAGTTCCGGCGGTTTTACCCATTTCCCGTCCCCGTCTTCAATTCGCAAAAGCTTCCTTGCCTTGCTTTCGTAAGGACAAGCCTAGTCAATTGAGCAGGCAGCGTTGGAGATGTCTAAGATGTGATGCCAAAGCTTGCGATCGAAATCAGACACTAGGAATGCTGTTCATGATAATCAGAGTCCGGGTCTAATAGTACTTACTACTGTGATAATGTGATGCCCTAATAGTCATTGAAAATGCTCTTGGCGTCTACAAAGATCACAACGGCGTCTGAGCAGAATGGAGGGGCTTTGTCGCTTTTTCAATATGAGTCTAGCTTGGTCAAAATACAGCTGTACAAGAGCAAACATATTTGAACTCCTCTCCGAATCCTAAAGTTCTTTCGCGGCTTGTCGCTAATCCTTAGCGGCGTATCCCAGACTCAGTGCTGCTTCTCCTCTCCGTTCCCTTTTATATCCCCATGATCCGCAGCTCCAAACGCCAGCCAATATTCCTACAATCATAATCAACCTCCTATCACCCTAAGCTCCTTGCTGTTGCATATGTGTAGGCAGGTTCCAGCCTGCATAATCTTGGTGTACAAAGGCGCGATCGACTGTCGGTACTGATTCTAAGACGTATTGTAACGACTCGCCCAAGTCATGGCTATCTCTCAAGCTCATGTTTTCATCTAGGACGATATCGACCTCAACATTTAATTTGTCGCCTGCATGATAGGCTTGCAAGCCTTGGATCTGCTTGATGGTCTTCGCAAATCGCATGGTGAGATATAAGAGAACGTTACGTTCGTCCGCCGTCGCAGCTGCGCCAGTGAGGTTGCGTATATGGCCGGCTGAAGTGCCTGCCCAGTTAAAGATGACAAACATCGACAGAAGAAGACCTCCCAATGCATCGAGCCACCAAAGCTCGGCATAGTATCCAACTAGAACGTTGTCAGCAAATACTGTGAATTCACAACGGTCATCCTTACTTAGGGGGAAAATAATAGAGAATATATTGAAAACCACGTCCGTCATCGCATCCTGTGCCAGGGCCTGTACACTAGAATTCTTGATGAGTCGACAAAAGAACCAGCATAGCGCTTTGATAAAAACCGTAGAGGACATGATAACAATTGCTGGCAGGCCGAGTTGAATGATAGAGTGGTCGCCAGACCTCAAGCGGCTGATACATTCCAGTCCAACTTGAAAGAAGGACGTGATCATAATCACAGAGAAGACAAGTACACCAATTGGCTCGAGGCGTCTCCGACCAACTGGATAATGATATTGGTCTTGCCTTTCAATCATCTTAGTGGTCGTCCAGACGATTCCAGTACTGTGCACATTGAATTAGCATAGGTCTTGGAGAACATGTTTGCACCTAACCTGAGGAAATCCAAAGCCGCATCGACCAAACTTGCAAGCACGGATAGAGAGCTGGTAAGCACAATAACTGCAATTTTACCAGCCAGGAGGATGGCATTAGCAGCAAGATTAACATAGATTGCTATCTGGACAATTCTATCCCCGCTCTCAACACTATCATCTTCCAGTCCAGGTATCTCAGGTTTGGGACCATCTTCACCATCAGCAGCCTCATCAGTAGCAGCCTCAAGAAGAGGTGTCTGTTCATCCGATATCTTGTAAATTTCCCGAGGTGTTCGTTTTACTTTCTTTGTAAGAGCCGCAGCCCCGTTGCCTTTAGAAGAAGCATCCGTAGCTTCGGAGTTTGGCGTACGGGGCTCCTCTGTAATTGTTGCTGGAACTTCCACATTTTGTAGACCAGATCCGCCAAGTGAGCTACTGCTTGGTGTATTGTTGTACTCATTCAAGAGGTCGTGAGGGAGGGACGAATCTAAGAGGCGGTCGATATAAATGTATTGTTGTAGCAAGCTATTTGTTCTCTCGTAGTATTCTCGTCTGGTGTTCGATCATTAGCTACATGCACCAGACGCATACTGTTACACAACAGGGCGAACTTCAAACCTTTCTGAATCTTCTGGTAGAGATGGCAGATTGAGAACATTCTAGAATACTCACATGGGTTTCTTCATGCCCTTCAATTCTTCCTCCGTCTTCCAATATTTCTCCCAACGATATCGAGGATTGGAACTTCCAATTAGTCTCTGACTGCGCATCTGCGGACCAAAGAGCACAGCACTCATGCGCCTCTCATCATCAGCACTACGTCTGAACTCATCGTGTTCGCTGGGATCTCTAGAGTCCCTTCGAACCAACCCGGGCCGATTTCTAGCTTCTTCGTCCGGTGTGTCTCTCTCTCGTACAATCGAAGATGATCGATGATGTATGTTTTGCAAAGATGCGCTGGAACGGCTCTTGATCAGACTAGTGAGAGTACCTTGCCCGTGTGTGACCATGGGACTTGTGTCTTCACTGCTCAGCGGCAACCAGCCTCTTAGTCTGGGGATTCGTTCATACTGAGGTGGGGAGGTTGAGGCTGCCGGTCCGTACTGGGTCGGGGAAGTTGAATAACTGTTGGTTGACATGCTGAACTGGTTCCGGAAGATCAATTGATGGTATATTTACCAGGTAATAGAAAATACTACGCGGTTGGCATACTCAATGGTGAGCATCTCAACTTGTGCGCGCGTGGAGTTGAGGCTGCCAAGTTTGGAACTACCGTGATTACTGTAGTGGCCGGTCGGTGCCGTCACTTTGAGACCCTACCTTAACCTAGTAAGACCCCTGTTTTTCACTGATTGGTGCTAATTTTAGTAACTCTACAAAGGTTTCAATGATTCTTGTTATAGGGCCGCTTTCCAATAAGAGGCACTTGAGGCACTTTGTACTGCACAAACAACATCAATCCCAAGTGACAATCCACTCTCATTCCCATTCCCTATTTCCCGGGTATCTTTTACTCAAACGCCCGCTACAAAACGCCAGGCCATAATTACAATCAACGGATATGTACTTCCACTACATCCATGTTCTCCAATTCCGTATCCTCTATCTTCTCCTCGGGATCTAGCTTCTCTCCATCGACTTGCAGAGAAACCTCCTGGTCTTCTGCCACTTCTTTATCTTGACGGAATGCATTGATAAGCTTTTGAATAAGAGTCGTAGGTTTGACCGTCATCTTGGTTTCTCCCAGCTCCCGTGATTTTAGGATCAGCCGCATCCTTTTGACCACAACTTGTTCTTCAATAACTTCTTCCTCGTCCTCGCCGAGGCCGTCTTGCTCCCTTTGTAGTTTGGCAGCTTGCTTCTTTTGATAAGCCTTGAAGATGTCTTCGGTCCAAGCCTCGAGATGCACACGTCCGTTATCCACACCCTCGCCTTGGGAGGATATTTTGCCTGAACTATCGATATTGAGGTTCAGGGATTTGCAATTCGTAACGTCGTAGAGCCGCTTTCCTTTCCAGGTCAGAAATATGGAGTCTTGAATTTCCGACGCCATTTTTTGCCCATCATTCGTCTGGTAGTCACACCAAGCCAGCCTTAGTTCTCTTAATCGTTGAGACACCTTCCGCTTCACCAATAGTGGTCTCGTACCATCAATCTGAGAGGAGACGAGAATCTCGATTATTGGATCCACGACTGCCTTCGAACTCTCCGCCTGGAAGATATCATCGTCTAGTTCATTCGATGTATGGTTCTGTTCCTCGAAAAATTTCGACTCTTTTTCGCGTGCTAGAACCTTTAACCTTTCTCGCTCCCGTGCTTGTTGCAGAAGTTCTGGGAATTCTTCATCCGACAATTCTGGGTCAAGGTCGACGGATAGTGTCGGTTTTTGTGGTACTGAGTAGATATCGTCGTCATCCAGAATAATGGGCTTATTGCGGGCATCGATCGGCTTTACGTCCTCATCATCGCTCTCACTTAGAGATATGTAGCCCTTTGTCTCTGGCTTCACCACAGGTTCTTCCTTTTTCGCTGCCCGTAGATCTCTGCTGTAGCGCACCGCAAGTGAAGTGGGAGAAGCTTGGTTCTTTTGCGCCGAAGCCGAACGTGATTTACGACTACCACTACCGGGTGTAGAGGTTGTAGCTTCCCTGTCTTTACATCAGTGACTATCACCCGTATGAGGATGATGTTACGGTACCTTCGCGCCGATGAAGCCCCGGCGTCTTCGTCCGAACTATACAGGTCGCGATCTTTGGAGATGCGCCTCCTCTTCTCTTCTTGAGGACTTGGTTCCTTCTCTAGACTGGCCGACGATCTCTTACGCTCAAGCTTGAGAGCCTTCTTCTGTCGTCTTTGTTCTTCCTCTGCTAATCTCTGGGGGAATATTTCTGAGGATCTGCTGAAGAATGCTACCCCTTCCGCAGCCTCGGCCACTTGTGCGATTACCTTTTTGCTGAAAAGCGATTTTTTGGGGGGGGGGGAGCTCTGGGGTTTCAGTAACAGCTTGAGCGATATCTCCTGCCATTATGGTGGATTGGTGGGTTGTCGAGGCGCGAACTGGGGAGGGGGGGAATACCATAAAATTGGTGGGACGACGCGACTGTTCACGCTAGTGAATTGGAGAAGTTCAAGGCTGTGGGGTATGGGCACAACCTCAATACACATCTCAACGTCAAAACCCACCGGCTCTCGAACTCCAATAATAGGACGCAAATAGAGATGGAGAATGGAATTGCGACCCAAGGCGAGGGGCGAGACCCCTCCGGTTTCCTCAGCGAGATCATTGGCAGCTCAGTGACCGTGAAACTGAACAGCGGAGTAGTCTACAAAGGTTTGTGATTGTGTGCCTGAGACGAATCTTGCCCTGACATTTGATACAGGAGAATTGCAGTCTGTGGATGGCTACATGAATATTGCGCTGGAGAAGACGGAGGAGCATGTCAACGGTGTGAAGAAGAGGAGCTATGGTGACGCTTTTGTTAGAGGGAACAATGGTAATTACATGCCCACTTGCCCACCTGGAAAGAGATTGTAGGGCTAACATGTTGGTTTCAGTCATGTACATCTCGGCAGATTGAGCGCATCATAGCTAGCAGGGCAAAGCATTAGGGTGGAGTTCTAGGAGTTTCTCAAGGCGTTATGATACACGGAAAAGCTATGCTGCACAACATGTGCAAATCATTGGCGAATGGATGTTGCCCATGATCTATGAGTCTGTTTACAAGCCGAGTTACCCAGCCTTCAAATTCGAGAGGTCCAAGCCATAAACGTCTTTCCATGGACAGCAATATCCCCAGCAGCGTTCCGCTCAACACCCTCTGCCTTGAGCGAATCAAACACCTCCTTTCGCACCTCTTCATACCTGCCAGAACCCTTCAAGTTCGATATCTGGCTCAATGTAGAATAGCGATCCCATACAGCCTCATCAGTCAAATAAGCCACCCAATCCATACTCTCCTCTCCAATCGGCAATGAAAACTTAGGCATGTGATGCGTGAAAGTGTCTGCCAAAGCCTGCAATGGACTGCTATCCTGCTGCTTCTCAAAAACCTGTTTCCACTGCAGGTGCCTGAACCTAGGATGCCCGTCCTCAAGTGAATGTATGATATCCTTCAGCTTCTGTTGCCATTTACTTCTTGAAGGCCAGTCCTTGGGCGCATTATCTAGGATTGTAAGCAAAGCGTTCGTTCTCGCCCGAACAGGGAGGGGAGGGACGCACAATCATCGACATTCCAAATCATCCCAAACGAGCCAGCAGGCTTGAGGACTCTATGAATCTCCTTCAACGAATCTTCCGTAGCAAACCTTTACTTATCAGTACCATCCCAAACACCTCTCTTCTGAATAACTTACCAATGAAAAGCCTAAAGCACAATAAGCAATCACGTGTTTCACATACTCAAAAGACGTCTTACCTGAGCAGCAATAACCCCATCCGCCCACTCCTCCTCAACCCCCATATTCCCCGCATCCCCATCCCTAACCACAACTCCCTTCAGCCCCTTCTTAACAAGCTCCTCTCTCATCCCAGCATGTGGCTCCACGCCCACAACCTCAAACCCCTCCTCCCTCTTCGCCAGCAACTCCGTAAACTTCCCTGTTCCACACGCCAAGTCTACGATTTTTGCTCCTTGTACGCCTGCGAGATCAAGGTGTGTGAGGAGTTTGGAGACAGCTTCGGGCGGGTAGGATGGGCGATGTGTGTCATAGAGGGCGGCGTTTTGGAATCCGCTTTGAGCGCGGTTGTCTAGCGTGAATGGTGTAGACATTTTAATTGTTGATGTGTGGTCTAGTAAAGACAAATGAGTTGGCTTGCTGGTGAGTTGTGGAGAAGTTTATATGGTGGTGGACAGACAAAGCGGCACCAGTTTATGATACAGTATACCAGGCAAAAGTCGTGATTTGTTTCCAGCCCGAGCCGGGGTAAGGTAAGGTACGTCAGTATATGCGGGTTTAGCGTCGAGTCAAAGGATATACAGTATAACTTGCACTGCTCCCTTAAAGCAGCTTTGAAATTGCAAAGCAGCACTGGCTCCTAGTCCCGTCCCCATTTTAACGGGTCAAGATTGAAAAGTACCGATTCAAACGCTTCATGAATATCCAATCAATAATACTTTCCTTATATGTAATTCTATATCTAGTACGGGATACCGTTGGTGAGCAGTTGGAACTGATCATAAACCCCAGTCGAGTAGCTGCCCTGACTCTTCTTGATCAAGCCCTTCATGAAGTCTGCTGCCTCCCTCTCGCTCTTCTCCAAGACGAACCTCTCTTTGAAATGTTGGATGGTTTCTGGCTTGAAGCATGGCAGACCAGAATCCATCATCAGCAGCACCAGCTGGGAGAGCTTCTCTGTATATTGCCGAGAAGCCAGGTATGCCTTGACGCACAGTTCCTCAAACCATTTATAGGCCTGGTGATCAGTGCTGCCACCCATCACAGCGACCATCTCTGTTGTAAGCTTGAACGGCGCTCTTTCAAACTTGACACCTCCAGGTGCAATATCAAAACAGAATCCAAAATCAATGTGCAAGATATGTCCAGCGTCGTCGATCATGATATTGCCGTTGTGTCGATCTTTGAATTGCAACAGGAATGAAATGATTGAGTAAGCCGCCATGCTTTTTACAAAGTTGCTTCGTGCTTCCTGGAAGCGAGGAGAATCTTCATTGCCATATTTCGAAACAAAATAGTCATAAAGACCATTGACAGCTTCTCGACCGACCATGTCCCGAGAGATTGAGTTTGGCAAAACATCGATAACACCACAGCCGGGTGCTGTTGCTGTGACGCGGTAAGGGAATACGTAGACGTCAAGACCAACGTTGTTGAAGATCCCCCGAAAAGCGGCAATCATCTGGAGAGCCAGAACGTCTTGCCGACAATCGTCTCCAACCTTGAAAATGGCAGATTGCCATATTTCAACTGTCTCGTCTTTTGGACCTGGGCCATTCTTATTGGTTTCTTCCAAAAGCTCATCGGTGCCTTCCATATCACCTTTACTCTTCTGGATCCGGAAGGTTGCCATGTAAGGGGCTTTAGCATGACTCTGGAGCGGTTTCCCAGATTTTCGATCAATTCCAATGACCACTCCGTCAGGATTACTAGGCAAGTAGACACCGACCTCGACTTTGATCTTTCGTAGCTCCTCTTCAATCTTTTGCTTCTTCTCTTCCTTTGGGCGCTTGATAAAGGGCTTCAGTTTCCCCGAAATACTCGTAACCTCGTCGAAGAACTCAAATTCGCGCTCAAAGAAACCTTTATCGACCCCAGAGAAGCTTGCAATCATGCGGCTTGTTACTTTATCCAGTGTCGGTTTGACGGCATCGGGCTTGAGTTCAATCAGCATCATTGTCACGAAAAAGCTTCTCCATGGCACTTACAATTTGAGAATCTTCATCTTTGTAAGCATTAGCCTTCATATTCCAGATAATTTGATGCGCAAAAAGCTGTGAGAACTGCGCAGTCTCCACAATATATCTCTCGACGTATCCGAGGGCATCATAACGCAAGGTTTGCACAATCTGGGGGACAAAAAAGAATGTCACATCCACGGAGTGACTTTCCAAGGCTCGCATAGCGTATTGTAAGATGAACGGATGGTTGCGGTAAGCAGGTAAGAAATAAGTGACCGCGGTGATCGGGTTTACGGGTGCCCAATACAGTAAAAACTGAGGCCGTCAGCGTATGCATAACTACGGGGATTTGTGACAAGTACCTTTAGTTGAAACGAGACATCATTTGGTAATGTGTCCCCAAGTAACACCTGCACTGCCTCCGGTTCGGATATTGCCTTGTCAGGGAAGTTCAGTAGGAGCCATCGAACCTCTTTGTGAAGTTTAGCAGACGGGAACCTAGAGATTAATTCTATTGCCAATGCGGGGCTTTCGGTCCATGCAGTTCTCACTAGACCCGAGAGGACAACCTGTTCATGTTTAGCTATAAAAATTTCAGGTGAGAGGCGGCGTAGATGTACCTCATTAGGGCCCCTTGATTTCTGACCCGATGATTGTACAGACTCGCCCAACGGAAACAACCACACAGTTAGTCTAGTGTGCTCACTTTCCATCAGAGCCTGCAACAGATTCTCTTTTGCTAGTAGAGATTTCGAAAGCGGTACTGGTATATTCCCCACAATCGGAACACTCTTCAGAGCCTGGGAAACATCTTCAAGTAAGTGGACCTCTGCCTTCAACTGCAATCTGTTTCCGCCAAAGGACCATTTGGGTGCAAAAGTGAACCAACTCAAGGCAGCCGACAAGAGCTTATTCTTCAGCTGGCATCGAGAGCTGAGATCTAGAGAAGTTGCGTACTTTATGACTTGGAGGCCAAATAAAACAATTTGCAATCTGATTTCTCTCGCAAGTGGATGGTCCGTGGCATGCTTCAAGCCATCCAGTGTGATGTTTAGGATTCTAATGAATGCCTTCTCTACGTGTAGGCTGCCGAGGCGACTTGCATTGAAGTGGCTTACCAAGAATTGCAACAGACGTGTGTGAGGTGCGAGAAGATTGTATGCTGTTTGCTGTCTTTTCGACAACATCGCCCGATCGCTTGGTGCAAACTCTCCCTTTACATAAAATGGATCGGGGTGACTGTACGGATCAGTACTAGCAAATACTAGTGGTAATGAGATTACTTACTGAAATTTGGAATTAAAAATGCCAAGTCTTCGATGAACAGTTGACTCCCACTGCTGTGCAACTTCCATCAAAATCCGCGGCTCCATACGGGGGTTCTCATTAATCACCCCCAACCAAAGTGATATTCCAAGTTTGATGGACTGCTTCGTGAAGATTGAAAAGGGTATGTTGACAAGGTGATGCACTATGGCACACTCGTCTTTCTCCGATCGACACAAAAGTGCTGCAGCTCTTCGAAGGACGTCGCGGAGTTCCTTGATTGGTATGTATTTCCGTTTGACAGTGCGAGCCTCGATGTGGGCAAGGACAGTCGCTGCATCATCACCATCTTTGTCTGGCTTCGAAGCAAGAGACCCACGTCGGTTTTCGAGATTCAAGAAATGTAACCATTCTGGATCATGGTCCGGTAGTGCTTCTGCGTATCGATACTCTTGCCGCGTGGTATACTGAGCGATGAAATCAGACGCAGTATTAATATTACAATCGCCGTGACGATCTATCGCACCAAGTCTTTGATCTGAGCTTGGAATGACGGAGCCCATCTCCGTTGCAAAGGATCTACCTAAAGATACGTGCCCATAAGCACCTTCATCATCGTACTCCGAGAGATATGTCTGCAAAAGACCCTTCACGTCCAGGGGTGCAATGCTGATTACGGCGGTAACCCATCCTTTCGCCCTTTTGTAAAGATTGTTTAGCGTCCGACGACGAAGACTATAATCATCGGATAATTCAATTGTAACCTTTCCGCGAATGGAAGTGAAGGTTGATTTCCATTCATATTCATCCGTTTCAGCCTCCAAACAGCTTGACCACATGAGAGACAACGATTCCAGAAGTGCGAAGAGGGAGGACGTTTTGCAAAGTGCAGAAGGAACCTCGCGAATCAATCTGTCCGCACACATTATTGCCGCTTGCTGGACTCTTTCGATACGATAGCAGCACCCACTGAAGATAAGCGCAAGCTGTTTCGCAACATAAGGTGCTGAAAAGGTTGGGTCAAGACCGCCCAACGTCTTTTTCAAATAGGTATCCATGACTGCCATAGTAATCGCTTCCATTGTGCTGCTCATATCCCCTCGGCGCATGCTGGGCTCCATAAAATATATCAAAGCCTTCGTGCAATCACCCGAGTCAGCCCTTAGTGTTTCGACTAGATATGCTGCTTGTAAAAATATGACTTTGCGGTAGCTCAAGCTCCTGATTTCTGAAGATCTAGATGGCAAGAGTGAAGTGAGGCGTTTCTTTTGCATTGACTCGTGTTCAGCACTCATACCGCGACGAAGAACAGTATTGAGTTCGATATCGCTCTCGACTTGCTCGCCTCGCTGCTCTCCAACAAGAGGCTTCGTATGAATTGCCATGAGCCGCAGTTCATTAATGTATTGCCTACCACGGTCTGTATTAGTTGTGAAACCATGAACGACAATATTAAACCACGCGTCGCGGGTGAGAGACAGTGTCTCCTCGCTAATGCTATCATCCGAAATCATCTTGTTACTTGACATCAGAATCGCAAGAGGCTGTAAGAGCTGGCCGATGTCCCGAGCAGCAACTTCAACATCTGACTCCCGATTGCTTTGTGCCTGGTGCACATCACCTTTGCTGATAATAGATTCGAGGAGATGCTCCAGATAAATGTCGTATAAGGGACCATCTTTGCGCAAGTTCGATGACAGGAAGTTCCGAGCTTTCATTACCTAAAAGCACGGTCAGCTTGATCAATGTTGTGTATACATCAAAACATAATTGCTCACAGCATCCATCAAGATCTCACTATTCTGTGTCACTCCATCTTGGCTTATTCTAGCATAGAGCTTGAGCAGCCCTCGGAACTCGAGTGGGCCCCCACTCAATGATAGCCCAGCCGCCTCCGAGATTATACGAGCGTCGGTTGCTCTGTTGATTTTGTTGATCTTCTGGACCAGCATTGCCTGAGCCAGAGCCGTAATTTTGGGATCATTACAACTGCTGGCAATGCCACAGATAGCCTGTACAACGTTTCCGTAAACAACCGCAGTCTCCTCTTCTCCACTCATTGGTAGAGAGATGCTACTTCCAGTGGATTGTTTTCCATTGTAGAATGTAGAGTTGACACTCCCATCCAACGATAAATCGCCATTCACCCCTCCAGCAAGGGCTCGATCAGCAGTGGAACTAGAACTCAGGACGTTCCCTAGGGTATATAGGGTGGTAATAATAGCATCTTGCGATAGAGTTCGAAGGACGTAGGCCAAGCAAGTAGAGGCGAGAGCAATTGTCTGGCTTCGTGGGCCACCTTGAACAATGAAGCGAGGAAGCAATCGGCTAACACTCGGCGCAAAAGTAGGAGAGATTTTTGAAATTAGAGCCATTGAACGAAGAACCACACTCGCTAGTACTTCGTCTGCCATTTGCACCGAATCCGCGACGGTATCTTCCAGCCAGGATATGAGAATATCGGGGTCTGCAGCATCTTCATTAATCAGAGCGCAATTCAGGTAGCTCGTAAGGGCACTAGCTTTTACAGAAAACGCCAATCGTTGCTGCCAGGTTGACCCAAGGCGAAGATAGTCAGCGCCATCTTCGAGAAGGCTCATCTCATCAGCTGCAATATTGGCCATTGTTTCAATAGTTTCAAAATCCAATTCTTCGCTACGACGAGAAGTAGGTCTAGAAGCAACAGGGGCTGCCATATAAATATCCAGAACGTCAGCCCCTCTCAGAACACTGACATCTGTGTCTAGAAGTGAAGATCCGGCCACAAGAAGCCACATAAAGCTTTGTTGAAGAATCATGGCTCCAAGAGGCCGTCCAATGGCTGCATAATGTTGAACATATCGTTTCCACTCTTTCACGGAAACATTCGGACTGTTCGAATTGCGAATTGTAGAAAAGGCCGTCTCAACTGCTACCAAGAATCTTTCAGACAACACCCTTTTCACACGCTGTATCAAGGTCAGTCGTTCCGGCCCGGTCCAGAAATTAGCGAAAGTGGCAGCTGAATTGAGAAATCCCAAGATGGAGATAGTGACTGTTGCTGTTTGAATGGCATCTTCCACTTCAGTATAACTTCCATCGTCCGAACCAAGCGCTTGAGCCGGCGAAGCGGCCTCGGCTGCCTCAAAGCAATGATGCAAATACTTCCATAGCTTTGCAGAAATCGCATCGCGCATATAACTATGGTTTATTCCGAGCCCGAGAAGAGCAGTGGTAAGGTTGTTGCTCAAGGCCTCCACTGGGGAAGGTTCGATTTCGCGGAAATATGGCGAAGGGAGGAAGACTTGAGTGTGAGCCTCTAGAATATACGGAGATAATTGGTTCATAAGCTTCTCTGCACTATGAGGAGCCTGGAGAAGAGGAGCTGCTTTGCACAAAGCTAGGAGGACCTCAAATTCTCTTATACTCTAATATATATCCCGTTAGCTTCTCCCCAACCTGGAGCGAGGAATATTTGTACCATGGGGGAGCCGGCCAATGACCCCGAGCCACCATTTCCATGCCCATTTGACTTGCCATTGACCTTTCCATGCTTTGGGCATCCTTTGGAAAGCTTGTCGAGATCTGAAGTCTCGTAGGGGGTTGTAGATGACGTAGCAGAAAGCGCTGCGATCTTCTGCAGCGCCTTTCGGCGAATGTTTCGAGCGGCACTGTGACGGCATTAGCATAAGTAATATAGGTCTTTGAAGGGATATCGTACGTGTCCATGATGCCTTTGAGATTCGCGCGTTCTGCTCGTTGCAAGTGAAGTGTTGATGCGGATAAACCCGCTTTAGCCCGCGCAGAGCTACCCCTGTCCACGTTCGGCGCTAGTTTGAAAGGCAGCGACGAGGCGCGTTCAACCTCACGACAGCTTCAAACCTCATTCAAGCTCCGAATTTCCAAACACCACAACGAAACCGATCCTTTCATCTACACCTCTACCGTCCCCTCTCACATAAAGCAAATATGGCGGCAATGTTCAGTCAAAACCCGCTCATGAACGGCCCAAATTACTCCTTCAGCCAAGCACCAACAACCGCAGGAGCAGGCTTCAAAGAGCATTCTTTCTACCCGTAAGGACACCTCTAGAAACTTCATTTAACACTGCTAACTCTCCCTCTAGATATACTGACAATGGTGGCTCAACCCTCGCGATCTCCGGCAACGACTTCAGCATCATTGCAGGCGACACACGATCCACCTCCGGCTATAATATCAACACCCGCTACGCCCCGAAAGTCTTCAAGATCGGCGGTACAACATCATCCCAAGACGATGCCACGCTTGTTCTATCAGTCGTAGGGTTTGCTGCGGATGGAGAGGCACTGAAGGAGCGTCTAGATACTATTGTCAAGATGTACCGATACCAGCACGGCAAGCCCATGAGCGTCAAGGCCTGCGCACAACGATTATCAACCATTCTATACGGAAAGCGGTTCTTCCCCTACTACGTTACTGCGATTCTGGGTGGACTGGACGAAGAGGGCAAGGGCGCGGTGTACTCATATGATCCGGTGGGCAGCTACGAGCGGGAGCAGTGCAGAGCAGCGGGAGCGGCAGCAAGTCTGATTATGCCATTCTTGGACAACCAGGTCAACTTCAAGAACCAGTATATGCCAGGTAGCGGAGAGGGACATGCGCTGCAGGAGCGAGAGAAAATCCCGTTACCGAGAAATGAGGTTGAGGATTTGGTCAAGGATGCGTTTGATAGTGCGGTGGAGAGACATATCGAGGTTGGTGATGGACTTCAGATCTTGATTATTACGAAAGATGGAATTGAGGAGAAATATTTGCCCCTCAAGAGGGATTAGAATGGGTTTCGCAAGCTGTAATATTAGACAAGAGAGCAATAAGAATCAGCGAGTTGCCTGGGGAAGTACTTAGTGCATTTGCGAGTTAATTGTACATTTTCGTTCGTTCATTCCCGGTGCTCTAAAAGGCCACATACTAATTGCAATACAAGGTTTTTGGATGTCTCAACTCATAGACAGCTAAAGATTGCCTTAGGATTGACTACAGGAAAATATTCGCTTATTGCGAACCATCAGCTTGACGATAGAGCGGTAAATGGAGATCCCTCTGCCACTTACTCGCCTTCCATGAAATTGCCTAGAACTGTCAACTTTGGATTTTCGTATAAGCCCTCTTACTTCTAGCAATGGGCAGACCCTGAAATCTATTGGACATAAGAGCTAAATGGATTCGAGCCAATCACCTTATTCACGTTGTCAAGGATACCGATTATCCCCTTAATCCTTATTCCCTAAGCCCCGTGACGAAAGAACAAAGTCCAAATAATGATATCTCCGGGTGGATTCCGAGAATCTCAGCGCGTCCACCTCCTTGATTCGAGTTTGTGTACCAGGACATAAAAAGCGGCACTCGTTAGCATCAACTTTCAAAGTCTAACACTGTAAATTGGTGCCGCTTTTCCTTCCACCCAGGACACGAGTCGTTTAACGCCACAGGTGGCGTAAGTTATGTGGTGGCGGCACTGCGAGTGAAGAAGGTGGGAATTCGCCGTGCTTACTATACCGTCAGTCAGCTGCTTGCGTAATTTATGGTTGAGGCATCTCCGAACCTAATCCTCAATAATCATGGCGACCGAGGCTACTGCGAATTATACACGGTGTTTCATCGAATTAAGTTTACCTTGGATGCTAGCAGTCTGCCGTTTTCTAAACAGTTCAGCTGACAGGCGCTCCGTAGGTATGGTACCGAACCGTTACTTATCATATACGCAGGGTCGTCCACTAGATATGAAGCTTTCAGTACTAGCTCTCGAACCTAAATCCCCCGCTCTTCTGAAGTAAGTTTTAAACAATACGGAGTAAAGAAAAGTTTGCAGTACTCGGCCCCATTCCATTCTCATCAAGTTCATTGGCGGAGTTTCATCACCACACCGCGGCTACAAATTCTCAAGAGATAGACAGGGCCGCTGCTGTAAGTCTATGAGCCGCTTGATGCTTTAATTTTACGTGTCCAAACACTTACACCCAATAGATATGGTATTTTTAAAGATTACTGACTGCACGTATGCATGGAAGATGCAGGGTGTGAGAATGTAGTTCCATGGTTCCATGGATACTACAGCCAGCATTCAGATAAGGGGTGGCGATCGATTGGCTATATCTTGACTTATTGATCGAATCGTAATCGGATCGGGTTCTGCAAGTATAGGCCAGGGCCAAGTTAAATGCTCCTTTCTCATCGTTTCGGCCGATAGCATAACTTTAGTGCACCCGGTGCATCACATCCCAAGGGAAAGGGATGTCCGGCCCAGAGGGCGTCCGTCTACGGCACGAGCCTACAAGTGGAACTCAGTGTCTTTTACCCCGGGGTGCATGTAATTGTGTGTGCTTGTCGTGACCTCTCGCCACTACAACCAGTCCCTAATCCTGCTCAAGACGAAAACTAGCTAGGCCGTGATGTAATCTGTCATCTTAGTTATCTTTTAGGACCTCTCGTTTATTTATACTCACCACATTTTTTTTTATCTGGCCAGCCATCAGAGGGTTTCATCATTTTCTGGGGAGCATACACATGTCAGGACCTTCACGGTCTCTTACATCTACACTTTATAATATTGTAATTTGTATAGATTTCCCTAGCTTAGCACGTCTTTGTATCCCATAGAGGGTTCCAAGACTACAGGCGAATTATATAGCCTGCTAGACATCAATCAATACTACTAACTAAATTTACTACTGATGGCCCACCTATCCTTAGAGTAATATGGTGTAGTATAGACTCTACGAAACTGATACAAATGAAGCTCTACAGATGATCAAATCAAAACGAAGACTCGTAGACAGCGCTGGTTGTCGTTGCCAGGACACTATGCAGCCGGACCTTGATTACAGTGCTTGTAAGTTCGAATTCGTGTCAAGCACAGGGTGCGCTATGCTAACGCTTTACTGCAAGCCAATCGACGATCCAGCATGAACGGAACAGCTGATGCGCCTCAGGACTATACCGGTACTAACAATAGCAATAGGCGCCCTAACCAGAATAGTGTACGATGAGAAGCACTAGTATTCCCACTTCCCACCGATCTAACACGCTTTTGGTACTGCACTAATGCATTGCAACATCCTTCAAGTTCTGCTTGTAGCCTAATTTAACGGCCGAGCCAATAACTTCTTATGCTGTGCAGTTCGGAGTGCATTTTGCAAGCAAGTCAGGGTATGCGTACGGCAGTTGTATTGTATAGAATAGGGTGACTAGAAAGGGTGCTCGTGCCCGTACATTTGAGGCGTGCTATAAAGCGTCCCGGCCCGCCAGAATGGGGTTCTTGTGTGTTGTGTCCTTACGGAAACACGCAAAGCTGGAGCCCCCGTGCATTATATCCCAGTGATGCATAGTGTTCAGGCGTAATTTGCTATAGACTGCCCAGGGTTATTAATGGTTACCGCACGTGTCCGCCATGGCCCCTGAAGAGAAGCGATGAAGATTACAGTTGTAAACCCGTAAGACGCCTGATCTATTAGGCGAATGGAGAATTACTTGAAAGTAGTAGGAACAGTAGATTCTGTATAACATTAGTTGGTGTCCTATTGGTTAGGGGGAGATTATCCCCAAAGATTAACGTGGTATGAGATGATCTAATTGCGTCTTCGAATTCGCGCCGCTAGAGATAAAATTTCTATCGCCAAAAGCGACTCTTCTAACCAAACTCTTAACCTCTTTGCCATCTCCGATCCACTGAAACAGAAGGCGAGTTACCGTATCAGTTGCTAAAAAGGATCCGATCTTTCCTGAGCGCATAGAACTCAGCGGGGAAGTAATGCTATAAGTAGCCTATGACCTTTCGAGTGGGTACCCTAAAATTAAACGAATAGCACATAGTTCCCTATAAACCCCATAGCTGTTCCGCGCCCCTTTGTAACTTCAGGACCATACCTAGTCTTCTAGCACTAGCTTCGAGCCAGATAGTAGTCTTATGCATAGGGGATCTTGTCGACGAGCATATCTCGTAGTCTTATATGAACTAATACGGTATATGAATATGTTTGCCCCTTTAAACATTTGTAGTATAGAAACTGTTCTATGTATTCTTAAGCTTATAACAATTTCGGATAAACGTATCATTCCTAGGCGAAGGACTTTCATAGGAAAAAATATATCTTTTCTTGAACTTCCAAGTGGTTGAACCTGCTGACTTATATACCTATGTAGGTAATTTTCGTGACGTCAAATTCAGAGACCTTGAGAGAAGAATCCTTTCTGATAATTTAGAATAAATCGCTTTATTCCTATACTCCGTATGAAGGTTAACATTAAGGCGGTAATGGGTATTAAGTGGCAAATATTAGAGGTTTCGACTTACCTTACTTGAAGAAGCGTTCCATGCGAGTTGTTGGAGCAGCTAGGCTAGGCGGCGAACTTCTAGAACATGATGTATGCACATGTTCAGATTATCAAAGCCTGCCCTGTTTGGTGCAGAGGACGCGTAGGTCACACGTTTGAATTTTTGGAATATCTTGACGATCTTTGATCAAATAGGGCTGAAACCCCCGCTCATCTTTGGGGGGAACACAAACACAGCCCATTGTGGCGTTAGGGTTAGGTTCCCCAAACCCAGCCACAAGATAGAGATCGAGACGAGCCGAGATAGGATGGGACGGGACGGGACTTCAAGAAAAGTCATGAGTTGTGAAAGATTTGGACCTCTCGGGCATTGGGCCAAAAAGTTCTGGACCAAAACAATGCCCCCTATAATTTAAGCGACAGGTCAGGCTGGCCTGGAATACATACGAGTACGGAGTGGAGTGGAGTTGAGTTAAGAAGCGAGGACAAAAAGAGAAGAAGCTCAGCCACTTCTAAAGCGACAAGTGTTTGCCACCATCTAAACTGCGTAATACCGGTACCGGTAGGCGTTGGCGTTTCTCCCTTGCTGATGTGCATCCAGGGTCCTGAGAATTCTCGGCGATTTCCAGTTCCTTGAGGCGGCTGTGGCTGAGATGAAAGCACTCGCCACTTCATGACACCAGATGGCCCAGACCTGCCGAATCTAGGGCTTTTCCCTCCGTATCCCTGTGCGGTGTAATAATCTGTCTATTGGATACAAATTATGATTTACAAGTAAATGCTCAATATTACCAACACAAGTAGATTTTGACTTCGAGTAAGAATGTATGGCTATGATGTAACACCTTTTCAAATACTTAATTGTCATTGGCTAGGACAATTATTAGTCATATATACTTTTGCGAGCTTTAACTTCACAACTACCTTGGGTATATAAAGCAAAAGTCCCTAACTCCCTGTTTCATCTATGCTGTACTGTACCAATCTCTACCGCTCAGATAAGCAATAATGTGCTTCAATGTAACCATTTATCAAGCCACAGATGTGGCGTGAATAGCCAGGTAGGTGATATTCCGTTTGAAAACGGGGATCGGTCTATAACGTTCGGCTAGCGGCACCTCGACCGCTGTCAATTCAGCAGGATTTAGAACTCTTCCTCCACAACTCCATAATAACGGCGATGCTATGCCACAGAGCGGAAAAGATCTGAAGACAACACAAACACAACTGACTGACTGAAGCTGAAAGCCATCCGGAATCAATCGTCCAGCCCGGACCCAGACCCAGATCCTGCCTAGTACACCAGGGACTACTGGCGTAGTTTCTACCTACCTATTCCGAGCTATTGTACAGTAGTACGGAGACGACTCCCATCGCTTGGAAAGCCACTTCCCTACCTAGTCTAAGGTACATTACCTACCGGTAAGTACAATGCCTGGCCTGGTACTATCTATAGCTTACCAATCTTTTTGCCACCACCAACGACCCTGAATTTGAACTCTCTGCTCAGGTAAGGTAAGGTACCTAGCCTAGGTACAGGCATGATCACGGACGCTGTACACTCCCCTCGTGTTACTGAAAAATTCTGGCTGGGCTGGCTCTTCGTGGATGAAAAAAATGTCGGAATTAAGGTACTCACTTGTCTATTCCGACAGTTTTATCATCCACGAAGAGGCTGGGTACCATATGCCCTAAAACTTATAAAAATCAGTACTGGTAGCCCGGCCATATTGTAGCTTTGCCTCACCCACTTACTGTAATAACTGGTAAGTATTCGGTATCGTATGTTTTCTGCATTCCAACAAAAAGTCAGAAGCTTTGACCCACAGTGGCGGCGAGGGAGGGGAAAGGGACGGGAACCATCGAATTCTGAAAAATCCCATCCGTTTCGCCTGTAAAAGCAGCCATGCGCCAGCAATTCCCATGTCAAGCCTGCATCGCTAGGGTGCAATCGCCTGGACCGCACCGCACTGCTTTCTGCTCTGCTCTGCACCGCTGCCCAAGCACCCCAAGCTCAACAGCAAAAGCTGGTGGTAAGCATGGAACATGGAACACTGTAAGTAAGTGCCTGAACCAAACCAGCTGCGTGGACCCCCGTGGACCCCTCTCGCTCATACCCGGGAGAATATTATACCCTGAGAGCCAGGTGGCTGCAGGTGCCATATCAGAGCCCCTAGGTACTTTACCCCTACTCTACCTAGGTAGGTAAGGTAGGTAGGTACCTTAGGTATGTGGATTCGTCCTAAATAACGCCTCTAGCCTTCCAGCTATTAGTCTACTCTACGTATACACACACTACTATTACCTCCATATACCGTACGGCTTCGGCAAGAAACCCCACACATAAATATCTTCTCCTGGCCCTGGCCTGGTTACCCTGACCCTATCCTGACATATTTGAGGTCACTCGTTCCTGACGATCTCTACCACTCTTGAGTCTTCACTGCCTCGCAGGTTCCGGGGGGCAGGGGGGCCATAGGGTACTTATAAACCGCCCAATCTGCCTACTCTCTTTCCCTGCGCTCACTTTCCCCATCTTCGATTCTTCATAACCCTTGTCTAGTCTCTTCTTTTTATACACTTCATAAGAACATCAATACCGACATACATATGCACCTCCGTCTGACTAGACCTCAAAAAGCCAATCCAACGGTCTCCTATAACCAATCAACCTCCACACAGCCCAACTCACCAAAAGCAACTGTGGCAGTGGCCGTGGCGACTGGAGCAGGACAAGGGTTCGAGAAAAGGCCCCGAACGCGGCAGCATTCAATCCACTCCTAGCACTTACTTCATCGCCATTTTCTCTCCGAAGCACCTTGTCTTGTTTTCCCGTTTCTGGTTGTCGATCTGTACAAGCTATAAGCAATACACAAGCTCGTTCTGCATGTGGATTGGACAGTTTTGATTTGGTCGTCTACTAAGCAGCATATAACCCTACCGATTCCACGGAACATAGCCCTCTTGCGCCTCATCCAAACTCAACTATCTTTTAAACGAGCTGTTCGACATCTTAAACGCCGGTAACAACTGCCAGTACACCAAGCAAGACCCTTGTTTTTGGCTCGCACGGATTGTCACGATTCCGTGTATATCGCCACCGTCAAAGTAACTTCAGAAATACAAAGCTCACATTATCTTGAGCACTGGAGATAAATTTTGTAAAGAGGTATGTGTGCTTCTTTGTCAAATCATGCCTATTCAGTAGTGCACCATTAGAAACCCCCCCCCACAATCGTTACTTTCAGGATTATGTGTTTCCTTTGGCGCGTCATACCTTATTCTTAGATTGCTAATATGGCTTTCTTCTTGGTTCAGTGTTGGGGGCCATTACCTACAATACACGAAGGCCTCATGGGCGATCAATCAACTAGATCGATGCCTTCCAGCGACTATCCAAATTCCTCGCAAGGTGCAAGATCAAAAACCCCGCAAGTTTCACTCACTACGCTATCCTCCGACGTGGAAGCATCGAGGAATCAGCAAGGACTCCAGCAATCAAACTTCCCGCAGAATATGTACCCATACGCACAGTCTTACTCAACACAGCACCATGCCTCGGAAGGCAGATCGGATTCTTTCAACCTGGCAAGCCTTGGAGGATCACTACCAGACAATTCATACCCGCCCCCCAATAGCCACTCCCCAAGACAATCCTCAGGTCAGTCGCCATCACCATTTGTCTATCAGATGCAAGGCATGCCTCAATATACTGGACCTCAAGCAATCAATCCGCAGCTAGCAAATGCATCTTATAATCTTCCATACCAAAACCAATTCATAGGGATGTATACACCAAACCAAGTGCAATCAGCACATCATCACCAATCCGGAATTCCAGGCAGTCAATTAATTCAAGGGCAGGCGTATATGGGACAGCCGCAACATGCAGGATCGCCTTATTATGTCCAACCCAATTCTTATGGACCCCAAGGCCAGATGTATTCTGGAGAGTCGCCCGTTGCACAATATGGGATACGAAGTGGGTTCCCAGGGGACAATCGGCATTTACAGCGCAACAACGAATATCCAGGAACTGGGTATAGCAGCGGATCGCAAGGGAGACCAGGTAGTGTGGGTAGGTGAATCACGTTGGTTCTCCTTCGAAAATAGACAGTTTTAATTGGCTCTGCAGCTTCCAACACGGGCCAGTCCTCTGTTGTTCGAGGTCCCCCAAGGAAACCTCGTCAGAGTGGTAAGTCAGACCCGAGAAAGTTTTCTCTTGCGAATGATCTAATCTTAGAATTATAGGACATGCAATCTGGATCGGAAACCTACCTCCGCAAACGGACTTAATGAACCTGGTATTTCATGTTTGCAAAGAGGCGCCTGACCTTGAGTCTTTATTTTTGATATCGAAGAGCAACTGTGCTTTCGCAAACTACAAGGACGAAGCAGCTTGCGCGGCGGCACAAGCAAAAATTCACGATTCGCGATTCCAAACGGTGAGATTGGTCAGCAGATTACGAAGAAGTTCCGTGGGAACAGCAGCTGGACTAGCTGCTCCCACAGGCCCTGCCGCTTTGACACCTCCTTCCAATCCCCCAGTGGTACGCACGCCTTCTCCGGAGGACAAAGACAAGTCGCAAGTAGGCGACATACCCGAAGAGCACCCGAGTAATGAAGACGGCTCAACCTCTAAAGATAAGTTCTTTATCGTGAAGAGTCTCACCGTTGAGGATCTTGAATTGAGCGTGCGCAATGGGATTTGGGCGACGCAGTCACATAACGAAGAAGCGTTGAACATGGCTTATAAAGTAAGTAGTTAACACCTGCCACACTACTACCTTTGCAATGTTAATGCTGACACTTTAGGCTACCGACAATGTTTATTTAGTCTTCTCTGCGAACAAATCTGGAGAGTATTTCGGATACGCCCGAATGACGTCTCCCATCAACGACGACCCATCAGCTGCCATTGAGTTTGCACCCAAGGCACAATCGGTAGAAGACCCAAAGCTCCCTAAAGCAATTCCTACGCCTGCGACGGAATACTCGCCTAAAGGTCGGATCATCGACGACTCAGCTCGTGGCACGATATTCTGGGAAGTGGAGCGAGATGAAGTGGATGGAGAGGAGGAGGAAGATATTCAGAGCAATCGGAGCGATGAAGATACGCCTCAGTCCAAAGCCTGGGGAAAACCATTCAAAATCGAGTGGATATCGACGACGCGACTTCCTTTTTACCGAACACGGGGACTACGAAATCCTTGGAACTCGAACCGAGAAGTCAAAATTGCGCGAGATGGTACAGAACTGGAGACTTCTATTGGAAGAAGATTACTCGGATTGTTTCATCGAGTTCCTAGCCCTGTTGCACCCAATACCCAAGGTCCCCCTCTGCAGATAGTGGCCGGATATCCACAAATGCGACCCTTTCCTTAGACAGGCAATACTCGAAAGGACGGGGGAGGGGTTTTGTCCAATTCGATTCAAAAAGGAGGTTGTGAGAGTCCCGACAATGCTGGCCATGGCAGTGGACTCGTTTTCTTTCGCCAAGGTAATTCACTCATGAGGAGCAACTCTTCTGAAGTAATGATTCACGGTAATGGATGATTGCATACGCTATCGAATGAAGAGACCTAGAGTCCATGCAAGAGACGACATTATTTCATAGCTTTAGGAGCAGGAGCTTTATCATGTATATATATGCGAATAACTATATATAATCTGGTATTATCTGATTACATTTGATTACATTACGTCATATTCGAATGAAGATATACGGAGTAAAATAGGTGGACTTCCCAAAGCATAAGGTATACCGATAGTCGAAAACACAATCATCCATCCCGTCAGAAGATTCGTGGTATCATGTTACTTCATGATGTTCTATCTTCTTCTCGCTGCAGCGATGCTGCATGAGACGTCACTGACTTAAGGACTGATATATACACTATGCCGTTTTAGGAACGGCTCTTCTCGTTTAAACCCATCTGCCCCTGAGTGAAATCCAAATTCAACATCAGATCATGAAAATAACACGTAAGAGTCGTATCATGCCTACAGTTCAGTGAGATCATTCATCAGCGTCTGACACTTTTACTGCGACGCTGTTGCTGTTCTCTGGCATGTGCGACGGCTTTGGTGGTGCGTAGAATCTTCTAGATGCCTCTGCGAATCCCGTCATTGCCTATTCTTTGGAATATCGCGTCAATACTAGAAAGTCCTAGAACCATTGAAATCAAGTATAAAAGGATGGCTCGGGTCATGGAGACATCTCTCACTTCTCTTTCCCAAGACACATCACAAATAAATCTTCATGCAATCATACAGAGCAGCTTTAAGAGCACCAATACTCAGAACAACAAAGAATTTTCTCACACCAGCAATCACACGCAAAATGTCTCTCTTCCCACGATCATCCTTCGCCCCCTTGGTCCAAGAGCCATCCTTCACACCCCTCTTCCGCCTCCTCGATGAATTCGACAGCTACAACGGAGGTCGTCGCAACGGCACCGCTTTGAAGTCCTTCCAGCCCAAGTTCGACGTCAAGGAAGTCGAATCCGCCTACGAACTCCACGGCGAGCTCCCAGGCATCGACCAGAAGAACGTCGAGATCGAGTTTGTCGACCCGCAAACCCTCAGCATCCAAGGCCGTATAGAGCGCTCCTACGAGAGCGGCACTGCTCCATCTGGCAGCATCGAAGCCCCCAAGTCATCCGGCGCCATCAAAGAGGCGGGCGAGTCCAACAGCCACAGCCACAAAGCAACCGTCGAAGACGATGCCAAGGAGCCAGCTACCCCTCCCTCGGAGAACTCGAGCAAACAGGTTCAATCTCGGCAGCAGCAGTCACAGCAGGACCAAGCTCCCGCTAGCAAGTACTGGGTTTCTGAACGCAGCGTCGGCTCCTTCTCTCGCACCTTCAGCTTCCCTGTTCGCGTCGACACGGACCATGTCAAGGCTTCCATGAAGGATGGCATCCTGTCCATTGTTGTACCCAAGAGCAATGAGACTGGCGGTCGCAAGATTTCCATCCAGTAGACGTATCATCTTTCGACATGAGATGAGATGATGAACCGTGACCCACCCACCTACATACCTTACATTTTGATTTGATTGGAGCGAGTTTGGGAATTTCTGGCAGAAAATTTGTGTTTTTCATGCATGGCATTGATGGGCAATAATTTGAAGCACATGATTTGAAGCATGGAGTTAGTTGGATGTTAGCACCTACATTCGTTCTCTTGTAGCATTGGACAAATATTTTGTAGCATTGGATCGGACAAATACAAACGAAATTAATTCAACTCGATAACTGTGCCCCAAACGCTTCGTGTATCATTATGATATCATGATACTGTGAAAATGTAATAAATCTTTGAACTTACCGAACGCCCAGTTACTCACACCACTGAAAGCCCTGCTTTACCACCAACACATGATGTTCCCAGGACATTTGATTTCTCGGCAGGAAATTGAGCACATTTTTTCAATTACAGAAGATGATGCTTGATATAAAATCCCACAAATCCTCAGACTCCGTATTGAATTCTTTTCCCACATTCCCCAGAACGCCCCAACCATATGCAGCTCGCCATTCTTTCTCTACTTGCTCAAAACCTCTCCTTCATCCTCGATGCAACAGTCCTTAGATTGCCATACACCTTTCCGGGCGGAGCTCCCAAAATCAAACTCACGATTGCCTCGCGAGCAATATGGATGTTTTTGAAGCCGCCAAGGATATGGATCTTGGAATCAGCCAGCACCTATACACAAGTTAATACCATCACTGAAGAGCTCGAGCATTGATTGGGTCAACGACTCGACTGGTAGATGACTGTGGAATGAAGGGCAGAATATTTACCACTCTCGTCCTCGAAGCATTCTCGATTGCAAACTTGGTTTTTCCATCTTTGCCAGCAATTCTTCCAATGGCTCTACCTAAGTGCTCTCCTGTCAATGTCTTGACGTCTTTGATCTCCTGTAATAGGTAGGAAGGTTAGCATTGATTGCATATAAACCGGTATGTGGAATGAAACGCCCTTTGGTAACTTACAAATGTCTCTATGTATAAATCGTCGAGGCGAAGAAGAGAAATTGCATCGTCGACCTCGAAACCAAGACTGAAAGCTTTTATGAAGTCCTCTCCTTTTTGGAGCGAGCCGGAATCTGTTGTGTGTTTTGAGGTTCGGAGCTCGACAGCGCGGTTCTTGACCTGTGGGAGGAGAAGTCAGCATCACTGTCTTGAAGGTCCTAATGCCGAGTAGAACATAGATAAATGATTCTCTAGCTTACGTTCATTCGCACTTGCAATTTAAGGTGTCTGCGCGATTGTTAGTTTAGAACCGGAAAGATGGGTTTCTGAGAACCTACTCCACCAAGGGGGGATATATCTTCGACCAACTAGCCTTCAACGGCGCAAATCGATGCGGCGGTATTGGGACTTTTCTCGTCTCTACTCGAGCAGGTCCATCCTTTGCTTTTGGTTAGCATTCGTAATTATGTATGCTCATAGTGAGATATGTAGCTTTCGCAGGGCGTCCATACAATATTCGTGGCAGGTGCAAATCTTGGTCTTCCTTCCTCGTCGATGGTCATTTCTGTATCTTCTCCTGTAGCCGTCTGGACTTCTATAGGAGTGGCATCGGGGGCGTCGAGTAATAGATCGTCGTCTTGGCCTACTTCCATATTAGCCTTTTGCGACCAAACAGAAGTCGCTGCACATACTCTCAGTCGGTAATGGAACATTGACAGCCTCGGCCAGCTCTTCAGGACGTCTCAGTAATGCGGTAGGGGCGGGCATCTTTGGATTGTTTGAATAATGAGGGGTGTGTCGAGAGATTATATTTTTGCTGTGTCGGTCGGTGGTGGGCTGGACGATATAATTTTTAAGATAGCCGATAAGCGTGCACGGGCCATCACGAAAAAATCGCGTTCATCCAAACAGAGAGCAGGGGCCGCTCGTCATCAATGCCAACCTTCCCTTCCTCACTCCACTTCACTTTACCCCAACGTTGGAAGTATTTGCAGCTCTCAACAGACTGTGATCTTGCCACGATGACTGTGTGACCATGTCTTCGCACATAAATCGGAGACTGTGGTCCCATTTATGGGATCCTGGTAATTCTTTCATAACTTCTGCATTGCGCAGGAGTTCACTTCCCAGTACCGCATCAAGACGAGCTTTTTCCTGGACCAGACCAAGGCTACAGCAACCTCGTCCACAACGAACGGCATCTACCGTCAAAAGCTTTGCTTCATGCGGCTTTCTAGCTTTCGAAGTTAGCCCAACTGCGAGCACATCTTCCACCATCACCTCTTGTACTTCTGCCGCCGAAAAGTCCCTATATTCAGCAAATACCCTTCCTCGACGATCGATATCCTCATCGGCCCAGCTGTCATGGCGAAGAGAAATACACACAAGCAATCGGAGAAGGAGAGGGGCAATAGCAAGCAGGAATAAGAGTTCTACGTCAAATGGTCAGAATGGACAAAGGCTCTCTCAAAATGGCGGCAACGCGCCGAAGGGCGTCCCTGTCGTGAAGAAAGCCGAGCCTTCTAAACCCGATCCAGAAAACCCTGAGTCTCAAACCTACCTGCACCTTCCCCATTTACCTAAGATGCCACACCGACCCACAAAGGAGGAGTTACTTGCAGCGGCAACTGGGTTCTGGTCACGGCTGAAAGTCCGGTTTAAATGGTTTTCGATCAGAAGCGCGAGGCCATGGAACGCTGATGATTGGAGTGCTTTCGTTTCTTGGTTTGTGCTCGGAAATATAGTTTGGATCTTCGTGGGAACAACTACCTTTTTTTCCTTAGTGATTTTCTCCATAAATACTGTATTTGCACAAGGTATACTCCGAACCAAACCTATCCAATCTTCATCAGTTAACAAAGTACAGAAACTCTAGCAAGATGGATTGGTGATGGGCTGACTAAATCAGCCGGAGTCAAGGTTGTCTTTGAATCTGCTATTGTACCGAAATGGAACGACGGGGTAATTACATTCCACAATGTTTTCGTTTCCCGGAGACCAGGCCAAGGAAAGGCCAAAGTAAAGAAGGGATCATCCATCACCGCGGCAGCCGCTGCAGCTGCAGAAAGACAAGCTGAATTGGAGGCCCGACAAGGAGAGGAAGAAGACACAAATTATACGCAATTTGACTTGACGATCAACACTGTCAACGTCACACTGTCGTTCGCGAAATGGTGGAATGGAAAGGGACTTTTGCGGGATGTCGAAATCAAAGGGATACGTGGTGTAATTGACAGAACTTCAGTTGAATGGGGGGACGAATACATTGACCCGAGAACGTACCGACATGAACACAACCCAGGGGATTTCGAGATAGATTATTTCAAAATGGAAGATCTACTCGTTACTATACACCAGCCGAAAGGATTCAGGCCCTTTTCAGTCAGTATTTTCTCCTGCGAACTGCCGCAATTAAGGAAGCAATGGCTCTTCTACGACTTTTTGTCCGCGAACAACATGTCTGGAGCTTACGATGGATCGTTGTTCACGATTCATCCACGCCAAATGCATGGATTTGCAGGCGATCAACAAGATGACGATGGGGAGCCAAATCCGTGGAAGAAACAAAGCAGGCTCCGAATAGACGGATTGAAAATCGACCATCTGAACAGAGGAGTCGACGGACCCTTTGGCTGGATTCATGAAGGCAACGTGGATATGGTAGCGGATGTCATGTTCCCAGCAGAGACCGACGACAGCATCGCAAAAGTGATGTCAGATTTCTACGATCGAATGGAAGCAACAGTAACCTCAAACCGATATTTGCACATCCTAGAAAACAATCCCCATACTGCGGATCTCGATTCCCATGAAGAACGAGCCGCTTTTAAGGAAAGGATGAGCCGAGAAGATGATAAACGTTTCTTAGTCATGGACCTTAGAGTCCACCTCAACGACGTGAAAGCCGCCGTACCTCTATTCACACGCGATCTTTCATACACGAACCAAGCCCTCATCAGACCTATTGTCGCCTATATCAACTCCCGGAAGACCTTCATCCCCATAAACTGCCGGATCGTGAAACGAGCGAGCGAGTTCGACGGTAGCTGGACAATCTTTGACAGTGGGTTGATGGAAGACCTGTCAGCTGAAACTTACGAAGCCTTTGCAAAGGACGTCGTGGATAGCCAGCAACGAATGAGGAGACTGAAGAAAGTGGGCTTCTGGTCGATTTCTCTCGCCATCCAGGCACTGTTTATGGGCATGGCAGGCAACATTGCCTGATTCGGGGTAGTAGTTATAAGCTTATATCACGACTCTCCTCATCCGTCAGCGAACTTGATTGTATAAAAGTTGGAAACTGTATAATATCGGTGGATCTGGTGCGACGGTAGGCAGGCTGCAATAGACAGCAGTGGGTGGCGTTTGGGATCAGGATGGTGTTAGCTGTAAAACATGCGTATATAATAGATCTTGGCGCTCTAGCTACACAAGAGACGGACATGTACTAGTAATTACGAATGACGAACTGCTCCGCCCTAGCTTTTGCTCTTGTATTTTATCAAGTGACTAGAGATGTTTTTTAAGATCAGCATTTATTGATGCAGTACATATAATACATATTACTATAGTGAAAGTGTCGGGATACAAGGAGTCATAGTGAGAGCCTTTCTATTCATATGACTTAGCGTAGCGTAGCTCAGCGAAGGAGGCATTACCTCTTCGCTTTAGTAATAATACTATAATCTAGACATCATAATATAACTACTAAAACCAGAGTCAAGTCTTACTAAATGCATACTAGCTAGTAAGAAGTGATCACCCCTGTGATACCAACAGAAAGATTGCTATTTTTACATGCTACAAAACTAGATATTTAAGATTGAATTATATTTATATAAATATTCATATTCATGTTCAAATATAATAAGATACTACACCCATGCAGTTGATTTCCTAACTCCGGAAAAAACCATTCGCGAAGCGAAATCAAACACTGCATGCATATTGCTTTTCTCCAAACACCAGCCCCTCCCAACCCGGTCTTATGTACAAGTAAAGTGAGTAGATATCCATTACAAAGCGGTACGTCGAAAGAGCATGCCATGACATATGTATATAATCATTTCACCTCCGTAGGTGTATAGATACTGCCCTCATTTCCATACAATTGTTGATCGCCCCTTCCCCCGAGGCCCATAAACTCATTCGGGTCCCTGGCCCCCGCCGGCGTTTCTTCCTTCTTCGGCGCCCCTGCGATGCTCTTCGGTACGCCCTTGGCGTTGGTATCTATGGATTTATTGACTTTGTTCTGTGGGTTCTTGGAGTCGGGATTCTTGACGTAAACTTTTACGGGGTCTTTCTGAGGCTCGAGCGGGATCACACGTGTGATCTTGACGTCGTTCAGACTACTAAGCAGTGTACGCTCTCGTACCATCTTGCGCTTGCTGAAATTCAACCCGTCAATGCCGCCGACCAGGCCGTCGGTGCTGTCGTTTGGGTTTATGGGTTTCTGCGTGGTCCATGGATGAGAGAGGCAGTCGTCGATGGTGTAGCGTTTCTCGACGTCGACTGTCAGCATGCGGTCGATGAGGTCAAGGGCTGGGTCGCCGACTGAATCCCAGTAGGGAGAGGGGTAGTCAAAATGGCCATTCTTGATTTGTTGCGTCAGCGTGTAGGGGTTCGCGTCGGAGTAGAGCTCGTCGGAGAAGGGGGGAAGCCGCAAAGGCAGATATAAAGCACCACGCCGAGGGACCAAATGTCTACTGCACGCGTGTACCGGCGGTGTCTGCTCTCCTCGAGGATCTCGGGAGCGACGTAACTTGGTGTTCCACATAATGTAGTTGTGAATGATTCTTCTCCAATGATCTTTGCTAAGCCAAAATCTGCCAGCTTGACGTGGAGATTCTTGTCAGTGAGGAGAATATTCTCTGGCTTGATGTCGCGATGAACAATTCCTCGCTCGTGCTATATGTTGTTAGCGATTAAATCTAAAGAGAAGTTAAGTCAAACTTACTAGGTATTTGACACCTTGGAATAACTGGATGAAAACCTTTCGGGTTTCGTCCTCTGTCAACTTCTGCTTCATGACAATCCAGTTGAATAGCTCCCCTTCAGCGGCTAGCTCCAAAACAAGATAAACCGCATTTGATTCATCAAACGTATCTTTCAAACACAACATGTTTGGATGACTGACACCCATCAATACTGCGATTTCTTGCTGCAAACCCTCGGTTTTGGATCGTTCCTCGACACCGGGTTGTTTGGTAAAGATCTTGACCGCGTACCGTTGTCCAGTTGTCTTCTCAACACACAAAAAGACTTCAGCAAAATGACCTTTTCCAAGTTTCTCTAAAAGTGTGTACTGTTGCAAGAAGGGACTGGTCTGCCGGTTCTTTGGATACCTGAAGACAAATCTAGCACCATCTAAAATTGTAATCTCATCTTGATCTTGAAGCTCGCGTCGTTTGTTTCGTCCTAGCATAGCCTCGTTGATGAAGGTTCCGTTACTCGATAAGTCCTCTATCACACCAACAGTGTCACTGCCCTTATTTTCAGTAAAGATGAGACAATGTCTGTTCGAAACGATTGGATCCTCAATGATTAGATCTGTTGAGTCCAATTAGTTGAGCATATGATTGTAATACTCGAGTAACGTACCACATTCCGGATGACGACCAACTAAGTATCCTCCGGAAGCGATACCCTTCAACTTGTTCGCCTCATAGCCCTCTTCCTCCTTTTCAAAATCCTTGTATTGCCCCTTCTTAGACTTTCCAAAGTTTGCAAGGTCTTCTGGCAGAGGGCATGCATTGCGCTTCTTCAGTACAAGTGTTTTTCCATATTGAGGATCCAGCGGGATCAAATAGCCCCAGACACCTTCTTTGGTCTCATCCTCAACCTCATTCGACAAGGCCGATGTGGGATAAACGAATTGTGAGAAAGCTTGTGTTTCTTGTGGCGGAGAGGAAAAGCCAGGCGGCGAACTATTGTCTATCGGACGGTGGTGAAGTTGACTTGGACGGCCCTCGGGGGGCGTAGCAGTAGCCTCTTTGTAAGCATCACTCGAGCCCGAGCTTGTTGAAGCATCCGAAGGTTCTTTGGTAACAGGAGAAGGCAATTGTTGTTTCTTCGACACTGGCGTCGTCGGGCCTTGGGTCTGTGATAATCGTTGGGAGCGTCTAGGCTTTTTGGAATTGTCTCGGTCTTCTGCTGTCCCCCCCTACGTCATGTTTGTTAATTCGGGGTGTGCAATGTACAAGTATTTTTTCAAGGCATTCAGAAGATTGGAGGATAAATATAAACATACTCGTCCCCGTTTCAATTGCGTCTTCTCGCCACGTGGAGCCATAATTAGTCGTACCGGCCAAGCTCTGGTACTGTACCTAGGTAGAGCTCTGACCAGGCAGCCAGATGAATCCTAAGATTCCTGAGTAGAGCAGAGTAGAGCAATAGAAGGTAGAGGTATCCTCGCAATAGAGCAAATAGAAATGAAGTCCTTGTGCCTAAGGACAACCTGTGAAGAATGCGAGCGAGCGAGGTGGATAAGGACCCCGATCCTGATGTCTAAATTCCAGTTTTGAGGTTCGGCGTTGAGGCGGAGACCGGGTCCAAGCGTTTATTGTCATCCAAGACAAGCTAGTTAACTTATAAAAGTTCCGTTTGGAAGACGATAGGTAGCCTCTTAACCTTGAACTCTCTTCTTTTTGCGCAACGTTTGTAAGTAGGTGCAAGTGAGATAATGTGTACTAATTGGCAATAGACTTTTTTAAAGCAAACCTTCATGCATATGCATATGTGCAATTCTCTCACCCCCACCAGGCCATTGCTATTGTCACGCTCCATGCGCACGCGCACTTCTTACTATGGTTGCGATCAAGGGACTACAGTACTAAGTGCCCGATGCTAAACTTTCTGGGCTAAGTAGATCACATTGTCATTCAAAGCGCGCTTCTCGCGTCTATCGATACCTAAATTCGTGACCTAAGCGCGTGATCTATACGCAAAGTGTGACTTGTGGCTGATGACCTTGCTGGGCACGGCTGGCTCTCCTTAATATCCTCCTGCCACCTGGGCAATCTTCCGATATCGCCGCGTATTGTAATGTTGGGTGTAACAGCAACAGTAGCCTTCTCCTTCCCAAGCAAAGCGGCAAAAGCCTCCTGGCTCTTGAATTATGCAGTTCCTCTAGGACTCTCCAGTCAAATTGGTTATACGCATCTTCCTCTTCTGTTTTGTTCAACTGTCGAACCTCGATTTTCGTTTCACGCCTTGAACCCGTGGTGAACTTGAAAGATTCCTATCAAGTCCTGCCATAATCCTTTCCGCGGCGCTCTTTTGACTCGGCTTTACTCCATTCCCAGGCGTCCCACTTCGACTAGCGGGTTCTCCAGAAGCAGACGCTGGAACAAAGTCCACACTTTCTCTTTGGCCCCTAGATTTTTCATCCTCTTTTCTCTTCAGTGTTTTTTGTTGATTTTTTGCCAGTTCTTCTTTATATGCATGGGCAGGAAAAGCATCTGGATTCCAGAGATCTCTCGGTAATGTGGTTACATATTGGCCAGCTTCATCGATATCTGAGAAATCCATAAGCTTCTGCATGAGACTTGGATTCTTAAGTGCCGATGACTTAGCAAGCTTCTCATTGAAATGGATGCCTTGCTTCTTCAGCTCTAGAAAATGCTTGAATTTTGCATTCGTGCTCCCTACAGGTGATCCAGGAGGTGACGGAGGTATGTCATAGTTTGGTAGAGTTGGTAATGTAAGGTCTCTTAATAGAGCTCTGTTTGCGGAGTATGGAGACTGCGGTGCTGCTCCTGTTTCTTGATCTTCTTCAAGTAGCCCCACCATTGGAAGAGAATCATCTGTAGGAACCGTTGGGCCTATGACAGGGCCAGCAAGAGGAGCATCTGGCTTGGGGAGAGGTATTGTAGATTCTGCCTGACTGGGTTGTCGTCTGCTGCCGTTCGACTGTGTTTCTGACATAGGTTAGATATCGCGATGAAAACAAGAATATTGCAGAAACACATACCAGGTGTGATACCATTCGTTTTGTGGTTTATTGGAGCTTTGTCTGATCGCTATCTGCACGGTTAGTGATCCACTTTGGATGTGTTGGTAAATAACTTCAGAATACCTTTTCTTGAACCATATTCTCCTGAACATTATCCTCCTCTTCGCTGCTTCCGTAGCTCACGAGTCCGGCCATTGTGGTTGTGCTTGTGAATGAAGGATTACATGTAGTTTGAAATTTTGTTGCTGGACACGGCGATATGATACCTAGGTACCACTAGCGCGGTTCGCGAGAGCTTCCGCGTCAAGCTCCTGCCTGACCTGAGCTGCAACTCAATACCTCTCGACTCTCCAAACACCACAATACCCACACGGGTTTCTTGCGAAAACTCAAAGTACTTTGCAACCACCCGAACCACTTAATTTCATCATGAACCATCTTCCGCAAGCTTGGGGACGTGTGCGTAGATCACCCCTAGCAGCCGTGTTGCAGTATTGACCTTCATGTAGCCCAGAGACGATATCTACGGTGCCTACGACAGTTCATACCTTCAAAGCCATGGACCAAACCAACACACCCAACAGCCGATTGTCACCGGTACCTCAGTAGTGGCTCTTAAGTTCAAGGATGGTGTAATTATCGCCGCCGATAACTTGGGTTCGTTACTTTCCAAGAAGTGGAAGACCACAACAGGCTAATATATATGCTCACACACAGCTTCCTATGGTTCCCTTGCCCGTTTCACTGATGTGAAGCGCCTTCGAACATTTGCCGATACCTCAGTTGTTGGATTTGGTGGGGACGTCTCAGATATGCAATACCTAGACCGACTCCTCACCTCTCTCGACACCGAAGAAGCCTACAGCTCGTCTGGACATACACTCAACGCCCATAACCTTCACACCTACCTATCCAAAGTCTTCTACAAGCGCCGATCAGACTTCAACCCATTATGGAACCAGATTCTTGTTGCTGGACTGGATGGAGAGAGCAAGCCGTTCCTGGCAAGCGCAGATCTACTTGGCACAACTTTCAGTTCGCCCAGTTTGGCCACTGGATTTGGTGCGCATTTAGCACAGCCACTCTTGAGAAAGGTTGCCCCTGATGAGGAAGCTGCTGCTAAGCTGTCAAAGGAGCAAGCTTTGGAGGCGGTGAAAGAGAGCATGAAGGTTTTGTTCTATAGAGATGCGAGAAGTTTGGACAACTATTCTATTGCCGTGATCACCAAGGATGGCATTGATCTAAAGGAGAATGAGAAGTTGGAGAAGCAGAGTTGGGCGTTGTAAGTTACCCATCTACCGTGCCTTTGCTTTCTTTGACACTAACTGTGAACATAGTGCGGATCAAATCAGGGGATACGGAACGCAAATCAATTAAGCTACTTGCGGCTTGCTGTACTTTTAGAGAATAAATGGAACGAGGCATGACCAATACCCTTCAGTATACCCAGAAATTTGTGTGAAATATGATTGGTGCGGTCTTCCGGGTTCTGGCAAGTCCTGTTCTTCTCTTAATATATCATCGATGCGAATGTGAAGACAATGCAGGTTACTTTCCATTGGGCTCTTGGGAGAGACCAAAGTGCGAAGTTGCAGGCTAGAACATCCGTCCTGCCATGCACCACTGTCGTATTGCTTCGTCTATTTACTTGCGCAGAGTAGTGGTATATTTTGCTTTTACGTTCTATTTAACGCCACGGGCCTTTGGTCCAATAAGTGATGTAAGTTTGGATCACCAGGTTGCAAGTGCAACCCTAGATCATGTGCGGGCTGTGCTAGTAATACTATGTCATTTGAGCGCAGCTTGGTCTGGAAGCTGGGAGGCTCGGCTCATCTCACATGGATACCAATTCTTCCAACCCATCGCATGGCCGGGAATGGATCTTGCCTTGTTCGAATACAGTCTAATTTACGGTCAAGATGCAATTAGGGGGGTGTCCTCCCCGAAGTTGATCAAGGATTGCAGTCCAGCCTCTTGTCAAGACAGAACTTATTCAAAGGCACTTCGGAGCACGGCATATTGTGGCTTGTATATAGGTGCTACGAGCGCACTCCTATCTTCCTAGTGCATATGCGATTCATGTTTGCTTTTTTCCTACCAAATCCAGTTGCAATCTCATTCAAGAGATGTCTTCTTCATTACTCCTTATCTTAAAGGCGAATATAGCAGTCGTCCTAGCAAATAATACTTACAGAGCATGCCCGAATGGCGGGCTTTGGTACGTTAACAAATGCTAATAATGGGTCGAACCATTTATGATCATTCCCAGGTATACGTGCGAACTCCAAACCCCAACATTTCTTGGCTGCTGCGTTTCAAATCTATGCCATAAAGATGGATGTCCGGCAGAAGATTTACGGGCTGCCGGAATGGGTAAGTTATAATTTCTCACTTGACTTTGCATGGGAATGTTCTCAGCTCCATTTTGAGTTCAGTCCCTTTCTAACTCACCTACAGGTACTGCCAGCAGACCCGATTCTTCAACAAATGATGGCTCATACTGGCCAAATGTGGTTTGCAGTTCAGGCCTCTGGTATACGTTTTTACATCCTGACTTTTAAGGTTGCTGCGATATAAACCCATGCGCAGATGGATGTCCTTCGAGTGCTTTACACGCAGGTATGCTCTGGGTATCTCGCCAACTGTCTTCTGTAGAGTCATGTTTCTGGAACAAGTTGCTTATGAAGAGAATACTCCTACCCCGACCCCACCATGATAGGACATACTAACGCTAAATCTGACAGCTGCCTTCAAAACACCCCCCTCTCAGGTGTCATCGAGCTCCGAAACCAAATCAGCTTTGTCAGCTTCATCATCAACTTCAGCAATTTCATCCGCCACATTAACCTCTACGCCTGCATCTTCTTCGTCTGCCTCATCAACTTCTACAACAACTTCTGCGAACACAGCGGCTCCTCAAGTAAGTCTGACTGCGGAACAGCACAACACTGTCCCTACCGGAGCAATTGCTGAAGGGGCCCTCGCTGGTGGACCTGCCTTGATTCTTATCGCCATAGTATTTTTCTGGTGGAGTAAGAGGGACATAGGTCATCTTGATAGATCATTACACGATTACATACTACTAGTGACTAAAAATCACATTTCCCAAGAGGCTTTAGATATCAAAATCACATAGCTTATGCGATGACTGTAAGTGTTACGCAAGACCTCTAACCACCTGGCTTTTTGAAATACTGATTGCAACTCTGATATCAAAACTGTCTAACGGAAAACGTTCGAGGAGACTTCCAGATCTATCCAGCCCAACTTTATTTTATAGGAGGCTTCTATATTCACGTGATGCACATGGGTCTGAGTTATTTTATTGGCGTACTGAAAAGGGAGGTGTACAACCCCGATTATCTTTATGAACCAGTTGGTTGTTTCTGAGAATCTTCTATATACAATTGGAAAAATAGAAGCTTTCAATGTTATTAATTCGCGTTCTCCAAGACATCCAGGGCGATTAATACCGAGTAGATATATGCAGGCTTAAGCGAATCCGAATTTGTTGGATCAGGAACATCTGCATCTGCAAGAAACAGGAGGCCCTGGCTCCCAACTCATTATTCTGTAACAGGTCCCCGGCACTTGACCATCGTCTCCCCATAAGTCGACGATTGATCGCCCCATTGCAGCCCCAGCAGAAAAGTTCAATGCTCCGATTACATTAACCTCAATCCATCCTCGAAATACCGACGACGCCTCCGCCTCGAACTCCCCGCCGTAAAGGCTCTCGTGAACGCAACTCCAACTCGACGCCGCGCCGCTCTTGAATGTCCGGGCTCACGGCAGCTTCTTGGTACCATAGCAGTAGGAGGTGTGAAACCTGACTGGTATGCAGACGGCAAGGCAAAAGGCTGATTCGCAAGTACGGAAAGCTAAGGTAAACCCTTCTATACTCGGTGCCAGTTGGAACCGCACCTACGGCCATATTAGGGATTTGATCACTAATGAATGGGCGCAATAGCTTGCCAATTCATACCATGAGCTACTGGAGTATGTGCCACTAGTTTCCGAGCTCTCCGGGACATTTTGCTAAACTACCTTTCGCAGAGAGTTCTCGTCGAAAGATTTGCGATCAGTTGGGAACTATACACTTGGGCGTTTAATTGGGAAAGGATCATTTGGCAAGGTGTATTTGGCAAATCATAAGCTCACGAATGGTTCCAAAGTACGTCTAGAGGGGAGGGAGTAGGAGGATGCTGTAGCTAACGGCGCAGGTTGTTCTGAAATCTGCGAACAAAGATGACTCGAATTTGGCCCGCGAAATCCACCACCATCGGCAATTCCTACATCCTCATATCGCCCGGCTATACGAAGTTATTGTAACGGAGAACTTGGTGTGGTTGGTGTTGGAATACTGCCCAGGTACGGACAAGCACGGTACCCGGTTATTTCTCCTACTAATTCTATTCAGGAGATGAACTGTACAACTATTTATTGAAAAATGGGCCGCTTCCGGTAGAGAAGGTGCAAAAGATATTTACACAATTAGTCGGAGCAGTCTCATACGTCCATAACTCGTCCTGCGTTCACCGAGATCTCAAGCTGGAAAATATCCTCCTCGACAAGCACGAAAATGTTAAGCTGGTTGACTTCGGGTTTACAAGGGAATATGAGGGCAAGGCCAGCTATCTCCAGACATTCTGCGGTACTGTCTGTTACAGTGCCCCGGAAATGCTGAAAGGAGAGAAATATGCCGGCGAGAAGGTTGATGTTTGGAGTTTAGGGGTCATTTTATATGCTCTTCTGTGCGGAGAGCTACCTTTCGACGACGACGATGACAATATAACAAGGACCAAAATTCTCAGTAGCGAACCAAAATGGGCAGAGCACCTTACCCCAGATGCCATGTCTTTGTTGGGCCTCCTACTCTCGAAAAGGCCCCTTCTCCGCCCAGCATTGTCGGATATCTTGACTCATCCGTTCCTAGCTGAGCATGCACCTCAGCAGCAAGCCATCTTAAAGCTTCAACAGCCAGCACCTTTTGCGACGCCCCTGGAAAAAGAGACCTTGGAGCGAATGCGTAGTGCTGGGGTCGATATTGACAAAGTGATCGAGAACGTTTTGGCTCAGCGGTGTGATGCTTTAGCTGGTTGGTGGTCTCTTCTGATTGAGAAGGAGGAGCGAAAACAAGCTCGCAGGGAACGAAAACGCAGAGAAAGAGAAGCGGAAATTAGAGCTTCACGGAGATTGAGTGGTGCCAGTAGCCGGCTGGAGAGGCTGGCGCCTACGTTGCAGGGTGTTGACGAAGAAGGTCAGATGATCAAGTTGTCTGATCCGCCTAGGAGTAGAGGAAGAAAAGACAGACGTAGTGCGCATTACCCGGAACTTGTACTTACAGATCTTCCTGGATTACCCGAACATTCGCAGCTAGACTCACCAGGCATTAGGACGCCTCCTCCGCCGATAGAAAAAGATTCGATACGTTCAGCAAGCTCGTCGCGACATCGACGGCCTATCCCCCCACCGAAAGAGGGAACTCTTCGTGGAGCTAGGTCACGGGGAAGTACGCTTCAATTAGTCACATCCAACCCTGACTTATTATCTCCACATACCAATGGTACAGTAATAAGACCTCAGCGGAGGAGGCACCAGCATGCTTTCATTAATCAGCTGGCTCATTGGAAACATTGGATCTTGGATAATGCCAAACGTGCAAAGTCTCCTGGGAAGAAAACGAGTCGTTCAACACCAGACCTTACTCACAAGTCAAACGGCAGCTCGAGAACGGGCACCAAAGATCCCAGTCCTCGACCTGCGACCTCAAAAACTCCACCTAGACCCTTGCTACAACCTGGACCACAATCGCAGCCCGTGTTGAATCGAACATATGTCACGCCCACAAATAAACGACACTCCGTATCCCCCGCGCCCCAAACCCCACGCTCCACCTTCCGTCGCTCCAGCACCGGCCTGCGCGGCAGAAAATCAACCTCCTCATCCGTCTCCTCGGTCCGTACCATCCACCACCACCATCATTCGCACTCCAAAGCCTCATCCACCTCCTCCAACGGCTCGGGCTCCATGTCCAAAGTCTCCCTACCCACCCGCAGTCCGCACCACTCCGTCAAAGTCCTCCCCGCCACGCCCACCACCAGCGCCTTCCCCACCAACATCCGCGTCGTGCGCCAACCCCCAATATCCACTTTCAACGAAGGTATATCGTGGGGTAACAACGGCCCCTCTTCAAACGGCTTAGTCTTCGCTAAGCGCAAGAAAAACCTCTTCAAAGGCCCCTCGCTTAACACCTCTTCCCCGACCCCTGAGCGTAGCAGAACTGGCAGCCACAGTCGCAGCGCTAGTCAGGTGGGCAGGAGGAGCGGCGAGATTATCGAAGAGGAGGACGAGGATGACATTGAAGAGGTTGAGGCCTTTTCTCCGCTCACTGGGCCCGGGGAGGTGGAAGAGGCGATTTTTACGCCGGGGGAAGACACCACCATCGGTGAGACGCCGAAAGTTGAATCGAGTAATTAAGCAAAAGAGCGAGGGTTGTATTTAGCTAGCGATTTGTTCTCCGCCCTATTCTGTTTCATTTGCGTATTTGTTTTTCTTTTTCTTCTTATAAAGAAAAACTTTGTGAAAGCTTCTTTTGCCAGCGTTGCATCTTCTTCTTCTTCTTCTCTTCTTCTTCTGCCCTTGCTGGGTTTCTGTTTTCGTGACCGAGTGTCATGAACTTGTAGGGTACTTTTTTTTTTTGTAAGCTATGTATAGGGTAACAAAAGGGATTACGCGTGGGAGTTGAGTTGGTTTGATATGATACAGTAGAGCTTCTTTCTATACATGCAATGAGAAGATGTTGATACCATGTCGTGTTATTTATGTTTTTTTGCACGGGTGGCTTTTGGCCAAGTGGTTGGTTGGTTGGTTGGTTGTGTATGTATAGTAGAGGAAATGATATATTCAGAAGTAGAAAACAGAACAGAGCTTCTCAAGCTATAAATAAGTCGTATCTTATCTACAGTACAAGCAAGCAAGCAAGTAAGCAAGTACGCGGCATGTGGCATTTGAGGTCATGTGGCCTTAGCACGGATGACCAAGCGACGCAGAGGCATCACCTCTTCGCTCTGCTTTCCACACTTAGTCTTAGACATTACATCACAATACAACCCACCCAAAACAGAGTCAAGTCTTACCATTATGCTATAGCAGAGTAAGAAGCGATCACCCCTGTGATATCAACACGGCACCTAATATTTTCGCATATAAAACATGTAACAATCCGAGATAGCCAGCTGCCACCAACTTACTAGGTATCAAAATAAGCAAAACTATTAGTAAATCCACAAGCTCATTACTCCCGTGCACTGCACTTTTTACACGGCACTAGCCTCGGCCCTATCTCCATCTTCTTCATTCGCCTCCCTAGTCTTCCTCCCCTTCTCGCCCGGAATAATACTCTTCGCAGCGCCCTTTGGATTCTCCAACGCTTCCAACGCCCTCTGCTTGCCCGTCTTCTTCGCGATGCCCCCATCAAGCCTTTCCTCATCACTACTGCTAATATCATCGTCCGAATTCTGCACCATGGTCACATTGTTGCCCTCTTTCTTCTTGCGCTCCCTCTGTCCTTGCTTCATCTTAGTGAGTTTCTCATCCGTGCATTCTTTTACCACGACGTGCAGGCCAGGGAAATTGGCGTTGAGGAATTCTTTGAGCTTGGGTAACAAGTCGCCTTTGGGGCGGTAGGTCCCGGAGTCGTTGTCGATGATTAGCTCGTAGCTCTCTGGGGATTTTGGAGGGGGTGAATGAGGTGGGCCACCGGGGGATGTCGGTGTCTGGGTGGGATTCTTGGCTTGGTGAGTCTGTTGATTGATGGGGATGTTTCAACCGCCTTACAAAAAACTCGCCGGAACAAGCAATGTAGATGTTCACATCGCTGTGCATAGTATGTTTGCTCAGCAGATCAATACCGAATTCTTTGCCCGTCTCAGTGAAACGCAACAAGCCGTCCAAGGTGAGCACGTAGGTGAAGATGCGCCCGCCTTCATCAAAGTGGACCATCTTGAGGAATTGAAGGGATGCTTCTTTGGATCGCGGGGGCACGACGCCGTATTCGGTGCTGTTTGCAAAGTTGTAGACGTGTGCGTGTTGATGATGTAGGGCTTTATTTAGGACTCTGCCTCGCAGGCCGGCTTTCGAGAACATGCCTTTGACGAAAGGCTTGAATTCTACGAAGCGGTGATAAAGTTCTGCGGGGACTGGGCCTTGGAGTTGATATTGGTTTGCTTGGAAACTGTTTTCATTAGTATAGGCTTTAGAAAGTTTGGTAAAAATGACTTACTCGTATTTCTCAGTCTTGGGCTTCCCATCGGTACCAACAGTACTACCAGGAGCTTTCGTTCCTGCAATTCTTCCAATCATAGGCGAGTAATGCTTCACCCATGCCGTATCCCCAACCGTAAATAGCCGTCCATGAGGTTTCTCAGACTCACCCAGCACCTCAGCGCTGAGGTACAAACTCCCACTCATATGCACATCACTAAATATCGCAGCACAGCCCCGAATCAGATACGCCCTCTTGCTCATCATCCTCTTCTTGATATCAAACTTGTCCTCCTGGAAACCTCTCCAATTCGCATCAATGTGATTGACATGAACCGTCACATTGCCCAATCTATCATCGTGATCTGACGGGTCCTCATCGTAAAGCCTGCACTTCAACTTAAATCCACTCGACGGAATCCCAGCAACAACCCAATGGGTATTCCACTCCGGATTCGTATTCTTATGTATGGTCGGAGTCCTTATAACCATCTCCGGATCCTCCTTGTGTCTCTTTGGTAGCGATGTGCTCAATGTCGCCATGATGAACGGATCCGAGGATCCAGAGTTGAGATCTGCAACGGGCAGGTTCTCAGCGCGGTGGAAAGTGAAGCGCACGGTGTAGCCATCGCGCGCTGCGGGGATAGGCGTCGCATCGTAGCCTCCAGCAGGTTCTTTCTTGTTTTTCATCTTCTCCTGTTGCTTGCTTACTTTCTCCTTTGCTGCTGCAACTTTGCCCTTGTGTTCACCCTGGCCACCATTATGCTCCAGCGGCGCCGGCTTCTCTGCGTCGCCATTTCGTAAGCCGGAGGGTTCGACTTCATTGGCATCGCTTATAGGCTGCGCTGGCGCCTTTTCCTGTTCCGACATGTTTTTGAGTCTGTTGATCTTTATTAGCGCGTTTAAATGAGCAACTGTGAAGAACAGCCTTACTCTCAGCAGCAGTTGTAGAAAGGGCTTGTAAGCTTATTGTCAGACGACAGGCAGCTGTGATTACTTGGTCGCAACGAGGGTGGGTGTTCTATCGCAATACACAGATACGAAGATGAAGATGAAAACAAGTGAAGATTGGATTTGAAGCTTGTCTGGAGCTTATCTGAAGCTTGATGTGGACGGTCCAATAATTGTTATCCGGTGATCGAGTCGTGATCTTGCGGCTGAAAAATAAGCGTCGCCAAGAGAATTGGGTCAATTGTGGTTTCTTGGCAGCGTTGGAAGGGGCTTTAAAGGTTGAAGGGTCCTTGAACTTTGATAACATGCAACAGAACAGAAAGAGGCAAGATTATAGATTTTATTGCATCGACAGCATATGTTCCGTGACTTTAGCTCTGAGCTTGGATACAATAATTACCGTATATGTACTACTTTACACGGGCTAATTCCAACTCTTACCACTTCATTCTCTAGAGAAAACGTAAAGCTCGGCTACACATCCGGGCCACTGACATCATCGTGCAGCAATATCTATACTTTACGGATAGTCTCGCCCTTGTTCCGAACCTTACATAGGTAGATCGATATAAATATATATATACATATCAAAATGCTTCAAATTTTACCCCTTGCCAATATCTGTTTTCATTAATTACTACTTACACCAAGTATCATGGCCTATAATTGCTTCATTCTTTCCAAACCAAGGGTCTGAATTCCCCACCTATACACTAACAGTCGAGGACTCGTAAGCCCCGTCGTATTCTTTTGCCCCGAAGCAATGCAAACCCAAAAGCCCGACAGCAAGATCCAACGCCGACAGTGCATTTATTCCCATGGTATCTCCAAATCATCGCGTAATTCATAAAACCACCCAACACTGATCACCTCTCCGGAATAGGTACTCTCGCCAGTCGTCCACCAGCACTCACGCGTTTCTGCAATCGCGCATCTCGATCCTTTTGCCTGTCTGCTGAACTTAACACTGGAAGTGCTCCTATAGTATCGTTCAATGGACGCCCTCGACCACTCTTCTGCTCAATGTAAAGACTCGCACTCCGACTAAGAGGGAAAGCAGGTAAAGATGCAGGGATCTCAGCTCCATTTTGTACAAGCAGCTCCGCTATAGGGAATGGAACTGGCTTGACAGGTGTCTCCGGTTTTGAAGACGAAGTCACTGGCGAAGGTTGAGCAGGATCCGCAGCAGCCAATGCTAAGAAGACCGAATGCGTCCCCCTGGACTTGTCTGCAACATTAGGGTTCGCGTTCAACGCCAATGCGTATATAACCTGCTGGATCTCGTTCTTCTTGATAGCTGCAAGGAGTGTCTCATCCGCAGTAGGGTATCGTGAGAGTGTCGATGAGATGGGCTCTACGTACACCTTGTCGACGTACTTGGCCGTGATAAACCTTAACCTTTCCTCGCGAGAAGCTTGGGGCGTTGGCTTAAGAGCCGGATCTAGCTTGGCTTCCCATACCATATTCGAGACCCGATTGCCAACGAGCAGAAGAAGCTCGACAATGTCTGTAGTGAATGAGTTGATATCCAACGTAAGCGAGCGAACCTTGCTAATATGTGTCCCGAGAGATCGATGAATGCCACTGCACTCAATGCAGAGGATAATTGCAAGATTGATCGATACCCACTCCGTCTTAATCCCCGAACCACAATCTGCACACCAGAAGTTACCCTGATCTGCTTCACGCAGTAGCTTAAGTAGCTTGTCCGGGCTGTCGTCAAACCCATTGCTTCCCTGTCGGTTATATGCTGGTCGTGCGCCCACCGTAGTCCGTCGGAGCACACTATTTCCACCCAAGTTGTTGGTGGTGTGGTGCGTCCCATGGTTCATAGATGAGCTTTTGCCTGTCAAAATCGAGCCGATGTCCCGCCGGATCGAATGAGTCTCAGGTTTTGGAGCCGGCCTGGAGGGCGGCGCTCTTGACTCACGGCCCTCAACTGCACTTTGAATAGCGTTATTGATACCCGAGATCCAACTGTTCATGTCGGCCTCGGAGGTTGCTTGGTATACTCGTTTAAACTGAGGTGTTATTACCTCAAAGCAAAATCTTCTATCTGCGTTCCGAGCTTCTCTGACAGAAGCCATACGAAGATCAATGGGGTCCATATGCAGATCCAGCTTTAGTTTCCAGTTGCTATACTCAGACAGCTTTCCAGCAGCCAGAACAATCCAAAATCTATCAATAATTAGCAAATAAATCTTTAAATTATTCCTTAAAACTCACTTATGCCAGGCTTGTTTGTTCAATCCTCTAGGATCTGCGTGGCTACCAGGCCTGCTCAAAGCCCACAAGAGACCTTCCTGCCGGCCTTCACCCATTTTCTCGCTGGATGAGCCTTGCGAATAGTCTTTCTCTTCCAAGTCCCGAATACCCCTGAATTTGGAAGCGGGAACCGGGCTTGGCGCGGCTCCGACATAGGAAGTCGAGCTGCCTGGAGAGCGAGAAAATTCCGATACACCGCTATTGACAGCTTGCGCCATGGCTGTACCGTTTGCAGATACCCCTCTAAGCGTAGACGCCGTACTATCTGATCTGCCGAGCTCTGAATCAGATAGATAGGCTGAACCACCGCCGCTACTTGACGGCGGAGGGATGACAGCGACAGCTGGCAATGTGTCGGGCTCCACGTAAGGAGCAGTGCTCATCTCGAGGTTTCGACGTTTCTCCTCACGTTCGGTGCGGTGATATTGGAACTCCTTGTCGGCTTTCTGTACTTCGGAGCTCAAAGCATCTAATTGCGGCAACATCTCCTCGACCGTTTTGGCTGTTGCCAAGAAGCCTCTGGTCTGGGCATCCGCATACTTTGTCAAATGCGACAATACCTCCTGCTCCTTTCTGCCACCGTGAAGATCTTGCATAAACGAAGAGTAGTCGAACCTCTTAAGCTCAAAGTTCCGCCGTTTTGTTTGATACTTGTTGTCACTATCGGTTCGTTTCTTTTGCTTTAGGGAATCCTGCCGCTGTCCTAGATACCGGGATACATAGGCGTAATAATCCTTGCTTTCCTCGTCGAAATCTCGCTTCTTAGACTCTGCTTGCTTGATATCGATGTTATATAATTTGGTCAAGGGCTCGATGATAATCTTCTGTAAGTTAACCGCGTTTTGCTTCTCGTACTGCAGCACCTCCCGCGCAATCTTGTCAAAGTAATGCTCCAGAGCTGGCTGGACCGCGTTGGCGTTCGATGAGGATGCTTCTCGTAGAGCTTCCATAAATCCAACAACAGCCTCATTGCAGTCCATTTGCGCGATATGTGCTGCCTCGGCCTTCTTTACCACCTTCTTCATGCGCTGCTTCATACTTCCCGTCTTCTGCTCCAGTTGTTTCATGGTAGCTCGGAAAAGAGGTCCATCTTCAGTGGCGCTCATATCTTCACCGGGGCGCTGGCATGAGACGTCGACCTTGACCAAATCTTTCGGCAGAGGGCCAGGACCGTCGGAGGCTGGCATGCTTGGCGATAAAGGTTCTTCATATTCCCGCATATCAGTCCCACTCATTCGGGAATCCATAGATTGTGACGAAGGTACTCGGAGCTTAGGAGGCGCAGCGAGGCTAAATGGTGGAGAGGGAGAATTCGGCTGGCTGAGGTATTGCTGGGGATCTAAACTTTGGAGTCAGTATCGCAGAAGATATGTTTTAGTGGGAAATTATACTTGAAACCCAGAATGAAAAGCTTGCAAGCTCATTCAGTCGGTGTGCTCGAGGATCGTATTCAACAAACTATAGACGTTAGCAGGGAGAGACTTTCGAGGTCGAGGGACAACAAACACTGCAGTTATTTCTCCATCCTCCCCCTCGATCCTCTGTTGGCTTTGGCGGCCGCCATTTCCAGGACCATTCAAATGATACTGACTGACTTCCACCTGTGGAATAATCCCCAACTAGCTGTACATTTGCATTCTTGTGTAGATTCGGGTCGGCATGGAATTCTCTTGTCACTAAAGTCTCGACTTCCTTGGCTGTCGAAGCCGATACGTATGTGAGGCCATTGACCACGGTGTCCACCAAACCGCCCGTTGTCTCTTGTACCCCAGTATTTCCCTGCGCGACTTGTGGAGTCTGTCGAATAATAAAAGTAAACTTGAAGGTAAGTTCGTCGTCGTTGTTAAGCTTTATAATGAAATTCGGCGAGGCACCAGGAGATTGTTCAGGGTCCTAGGAGTCTTGTAAGCATATGCCCCAGAAATACGTCTCGAAATAGCAGTCATAATCATACCTGGACATATTCCACTATGCTGTTATCCCCCAGATCGCGCGTCGCCGATACTCTTGTTGCGGGGAATGCATTTGGAATCACGTTGAGGACGGTCCGCCGTCGAGCATTAGTAACGGTTAACGATGAAATGGTCACTGTCTGTCCGTCAATATCATGATCATTTCGGCAGAAGGCCTGCAGGGGAACACTGACATCGAGTCTGGTCTCGTAGATAAAGCGCCGCAGCCTCTTCAGGCCTGCTGGTGATATTGCCCATGGCGATGGATTTATAGATCTACCCCTCCAAATCGCGATGCTGGTTGGAAGAACGAGCAGTGGTTCTCGCTGGATGACTGCGATCGAACGCTGTGAATGTATTAATCAATAGCATCTAGATGTATACTGATATAATGTGTATCCAAAGAACAGATGCTTCGAGGGAGGGACAGGTTTAGGAGGATTTAAGAGCTGCTTGCGGGCGACGGATTCTGGCGCGGTGGTGGTGCCTGAAGACGCTAGTACTGTACAGTGCCTATAGGCCCCGGTAGATATTGACAGGGAACAGAAATAGTCCAGAATTACTTTACTTGTAATCTATAATATTATTTACGGCATTACTCGTAATAGGGTTAATATAGCCAAATGAGCAGACGGGGTTCATGCTACTTTTACGTTTCAGACCCGAGGATCATGTTGGCGTTGGCTTTGACAGAGATCAGGAGAAGTACTCTGACTACTCGGTATGTTACAGAGGGGAGGTACAGATGGTATCTCCTGAAACACCCACTTTAGACGGGCGGATATAATACTGATGCGATGCAGTACCAAGTGGCACGCGGGCGGTGTATAGATATATTTTGGGCCAAAATAGTAAGTGCATGTATCTATCACACGAATACAGCTTGCAGTAAGATCTATTTATTGCTCGTATAGTACTCTGTCTGCGTTTGCTGACGTATATTTTGCCATTCGGGCGTAGAAACGAGGCTGTGACATGCGTAGCTTGATTGTTGTAAAAGTGAAAGATAGGTATTTGTAGGCCACCTAGGTAGACAGTCGGTCACAGATCAGATCAGATCAGATCAGATGCATTCGTTGCTTTGATCACAGTCTGGCTCTCCACAGTACAGTAAGTAGAAAACACATGCACGAAATCCTTCCCGTTTCAGGTGTTCATGTCAGGCAGGGCAGGGGCGAGAAAAGGCTGAATAATCATACAGTACAGTAGTGATGTGACTTCATCTTGCAGTACGAAGTACCGTCA